AGTAGTACATTTAAATTCAAATGCATTAGGGTGTTTTGGACGCAGCCACACTCTTCTTAAAGAGAAAAGAAGGACCAGCTGGGAGAAGGGAGAGCACAAATCAGTTGTTGTGTGATTATTGAAACTAAATAAATTTGCTTACCTGAATCACCAACCCTGTCTTCAGCTTCCAATAACAACAACAAACTATATTACAGTGGTGCCGAAAACCAGGAAGAAGAAGAAACATCGCTGCTAGAATGTCCACTCCATCTCTTGGTCCTCCAGGCGCTTTCGGTTCTCCACAGAGAGCAACATTACTTGCTGGTGGAACAGAAGAAAGATCTACAACAACAATTCCAAGGCCTCATGGAAACCCAGCGGGAGGACCGCAAGCTAATCCGGAGCCTGTTGGCCCAGGAGATCAGGGCCGCTCCTAAATCTGCCACCCCCCCTCCCATCACTTTACAGAAAATGACGTTGGAGGATGACCCAGAAGCGGCTGGTTCGAGTCATCCCACTGCTGCTTATCCACTTACTCACTTACACTGTAAGTAAAGCAAACAAATGCTTTCATTATATATTTAATGTGAAATCTTAAAGTTATAAGACACCTCTGTTTTTTAATGTCAATTTAAACAAAAAGTCTAAATAAGAGATTCATTTGCTGGTTGGGGTTGGGGGTGTGCCTTATTTTTACATCCCAGTGTGCAGATGTAACTTACTGCTTTGGCAAGCATTGTGGCAGTTTTTGAACACAGTCTAACTATTAGCCAGTCACAATGCACTAAGACAGGTGAGTCAGATTCCAGTGTTTCGGATAAAGTCTATGGCTTCATAGTGTTGTAGGAGGCCTGTCAAAAAATTACTGAAACAGCTTGATAAATGAGTTGTGTAGCATGCTCTGATAGAATAAAGATGAAGGTGCATAAGAAGGACTGGGAGGTTCTAGCAAAGTGGTCCCCAACTTGAAGATTTCTTAAAAATATATATGTTTAGCTAATAGGAGACATTGTGATGAAATGAGGTTTTGCCTGGGCAAGGATGATTTAAAGGTGATGGTACTTCATCCAGAAAAAAAAAAAAAAAACATACATCACATATAAGCACAACACAGGCTCATTCTGAAAACATAGCCCTATATATATCTGGAGATTTATGTAATATGTACGAATTATGTAGGCAGATGTACGTATCACTGTATTTCATCTTTAAAACGAACAGGGCAGTATGACACCGTTTCATGTCACGCTTACCAGCTGACCGCATAACTCCATGTAGACTGCAGAGAAGAGTTGACCATAATGACAGGGTCGGGTCTAGCAAAGAACAGTTCCAGATAGCAGGTAAGGCAAAAACAGAAGCCAATAAATAAAACAAACAAGTAAAGAACAGGGTGAAAACGTGATAAAATCTAAAAATGTTGTAAAAAAAAAAAAAAAAGATTGACCTTTTTTGCCTTGTCTTTTTTTCTGGATTGCTTCTTAAAACTGTCGATTGGGTTTGGGGAAACCCAATTGGTGTCAATCAGTGGTTGTGTTTTAAGGAAGGAGGGTGGGGCAGTCAATCAGTCAGTCAGTCGACAGCGTCCTCTGGTGGATTTACATGAGAACAGAAGGCATGAATGGCACTCGCGAGAGAAATTTGAGATCTGAAAAAGGGTACACAATTGCCTCTGGTGGATTCAGGAAAACAAAACCTGCAAAAAACATAGCTCCAGGAACATTTGGCACTCTCCAGAAATGTAAATAGCGGTACATTTTCAGAATGAGCCTGAGTTGTACAAGCAGCTACTGTCAGATGATCAAGCTAAAATGAGAGGTACTGTAGAGTCTAGTATCCGCATAGCAGTGATGTGAAAATCCATGTCCAAATTCCATGTTGACAGATCCTAGTGATGCTAAATAGAAGGAGAACAGAAATGGTCTAAGAACTGAGCCCTGAGGCACCCCAGGAGCAAGACATTGTATAGTGTATAGCAATTGAATGCAAGTCCCTAAGATGCTGTTTGATGGTTGACACAAGAATCTGGCTTAATAATAAATACATCATGATTAATAACCATGAGAGCATGGTAGTCTCTGTAGAATATCTGATTCTGAAGTCAGACTGGTCACTGCTTGTTCTGTAATACAAAATAAAAAAAGAACAAAACAAACTTAAGAAGCATAAAACTATTCATTTGAAAATGTTTCTCATTCATCCATTCAATTTCTTTTCGACTTAGTCTCTTTTTAATCTGGGGTCGCCACAGCAGAATGAACCGCCAACTTATCCAACATATGTTTTACGCAGCAGAAGCCCTTCCGGCTGCAACCCACCACTGGGAAACACCCATACACTCTCTTTCACACACATACAATATGGACAATTTAGCTTACCAATTTTACCTACACCACATGTCTTTGGACTTGCACCCAAAGGAAGCCCACGCAAAAAAACAAGAAGAACATGCAAACTCCACGCAAAAACGCCAACTGACGCAGCCAGGGCTCAAACCAACGACCTTCTTGCTGTGAGGCGATTGTGCTACCCACTGCGCTGGCCCTCTCAGCATCATCCACTTACATGATCTGTTAAAGATCCTTTTAACGTGTTGGTTGGCTGTTTAAGAAACAGGTCTGGTTATTATTAGTGCTGCTACGTAGTATTTATAGGCTATAAACATGTATGTTGCTGTTGACTGTATACACAGTTGTGAGCCAGAGTAACATCAGGTTTTTCATGTTTTTAGTCAAATCATGTGGATCCAAGTTTCAAGGTGGCTTTTGTTACATTTCTCTTTTGTTGATACAATAAATTGCAGCACAAACCTTCTTATATAACTGTGCCAAAGCTCTGTGTTATAGCATAAATAGCCAATGAATGAAGGGATGTAACTTTCCCATTTATTACTGTCATTGTATTTAACTCACATTTTCGAATTGTTTGCATATTGGTTGAAATAATTCAATCCATCAAGGTTGCGTGTGTCTTAGTCAAGCATAAAGATATGTTAATAGAAAGTATTCATGGACAAACAAGCACAAGGATATAAGGAAGGTAAAATAAATTCACAAAAGTTATTGCTCCCGGTTTAAAACTTTTACTCCAGCAGAAGTGTGTCCCTGGGGAGTGTGATTAAAAGATGCTCAGTGACGGTAAAAGGCTGAACAGTGCTACCTGTGGTGCAGAAAGTTGTTGAATCACAGCTGACCTTTTTTGCCTTGTCATTCTGTCTTTGTGTAGTGCGAGTTCAGCTCTTCCTGTTCAGTGCTGTCAAACAGCTGCCACTGCTGTGACGATGATGAACTGAAGAGTTTCCTTCTTACAACTGCTGTGCAGGAGAGTGCGGTCACGTTGTAGTCATCCTGAAAGAGGCACAAAGATTTCAATCACAATCCAACTATTGAATTGCTTTGATTTGATATGTATTTATAACAAAAGATCAATAATAATAATAATAATAATAATAATAATAATAATAATAATAATAATAATGATGGTAAAAATGTATACTCTGTCTGAAATTTGTATTAATCACTGATGTATTAATTACTAATTTATCAGTCTTTCTCTTAGGTTTTGTTTGTTTTGTTTTTATTTTATTATTTTTGTATTATGTATATATTATTGGTTACTTTTGTTTGCTTGTTTCTTTGCTTTTATGCATTTCTTTGAGTTTGTTTTGGCATTTTTGTTTTCTGTTTTATTTTGTTTAGTTTGGGTTTACTTTGCTTATGTTAGATTTCTTTTTTGTTTCATTTCATTTTGTTTTCTGTTTTGTTTATTATTTGCTTTTTGTTTTTATTTCAGTTTTTTTTTTTTTTTTGGTTTTTTATGTGTTTTCTGTTTAATTTTGCTTATGTTTTAACTTTTTTCATATACCTTTTGCTGGATTATGCTTAATTGTGATTTATTTTGCTTTGATTTTCTGTTGTTTTGTTTTACACTGCATAACATTGATACATTTTGGGTCATGCAGGTGTACAAATATGTTCAAAAAGGTGGCAACGCCAGAGCCTCAAAAAATACCAATTTACGTGTTTCGAGTTTACGTGTTCCAATTTACACTGGCTTTTCATCAGACAGTATTCATTACAGCATGTTGCTCTTTTTGTCTACACTTCTGGATCACATGATCTCATACATTATATAAAAAAATTATACACATTTGCAAATTACACAACTTAAATATTCAAAACAACAATACAAAAACAAATCCAAAAAATACATCACAAATAAAGAAAAACATAACAAAATATAACAAAGAAATACAACAAATTATAAATGTTGCTGACCATGTCCATCTCTTTATGACCACAGTGTACCCAATGTCAAAGTGTGAATTATCTCAGACTGGTTTCTTGAACATGACAATTCATTGTACTCAAATGGCCTCCACAGTCACCAGTTCTCAATCCACTAGAGCACCTTTGGGATGTGGTGGAACGGGAGATTTGTATCATGGATGTGCAGCCGATGCATCCGCAACAACTGCGTGATGCTACCATGTCAATATGGACCAAGATCTCTGCTGAATATTTCCAGTACCTTGTTGAATCTAGTCCATTACCTTATTAAAACTGGTCCAATAAAAAAATAATAAAATATACACACACACACACACACACGCACACACACACACACACACACACACACACACACACACACACATATATATATATATATATATATATATATATATATATATATATATATATATATATATATATATATATATATATATATATATATATATATCTCCAAGCATTAACTTTGATTCTACACACAAGGATATAGTAAATCACCAGTGTTATAAAATATTTATTAAGTCTGACGCCAATGTCCTTTGTTAACATTACAGCTCAGAATTTTTTTTTAATTTTTTTTTATGTGAGCTTATTTTAGGATCATTGTTTACATGTGGAGAAGTGAGGTAGAGGTCCAGGTTGTGGATAAACTCGTTGGACAGGTAAAGATGACACTCAAAGAGGGAGGATCAGAGGGCAGTCCTTAAAAAATGTCTTAATAAGAAGTTCTAAAATAGACAGGAAGGTCTCATTATTCCTTTGGGATTGTGGAAACAGGTCCAAATCCCACCCACCCAAATCCACAGACACTTTGGATTTAAGCATAGTCCTCCTGCATCAAATGGAAGACAATGACACGGTAAGAGTTATTCTGCAGAGTAAATGCTAATATTTTTCATTAGATCTTTGTTTTATTTATTTTTAACTCATGTTGGAAAGATGTTAAGTTCTATATGGTTTATTATTAGATATCTTCTTACAAATGACCTCGTTTTGGTCTTGCTTATGTAGTGGTAATGAGCATTTAAAGGTTACCCAAGTTGGTTTCACAACAAATTTAGGATATGCTTTTTAAAAACAATAGAAATCATATTGAAATGACGACTTCTAATATTAATTTATCTGTTGATTTAAATAAGTAAATTCAAAACACTTTTAGTTCTGTGGATTGGATTTTGGTTTTATTTTGTAACATTTATTCCAGATTTAAAATAAAATGTTTGCATTAAAAGGCGAAACATTTTCAATCCTTTATTTTCCATTTTAGACAACACAATGTTTAACTTTAAAAGGGTTTACATAGGCAACATTTTTGTGGAAAAACCCTGATTTTCAATAATAATAATAATAATTACAGTGGGTAGCACAAATGCATCAAAGCAAGTAGGTTGCTGGTTCGAGCACAGATGGGGTCAGTTGGCATTTCTGTGTGGAGTTTGCATCTTTTCCCTGTGTTCACATGGGTTGGTGCTCAGGTTTCCCCACCTCAAGTCCAAAAACATGTGGTACAGGTGAATTGAATAAGCTAAATTGGCTGTAGTGTATGAGTGTGAATAGTGTGAAGGGATGTTTTCCAGTGATGGGTTGCAGCTGGAAGAGCATTCACTGCAGTAAACATATGCTGGATGAGTCAGCGGTTAATTCGACTGTGGCGACCCCAGATAAATAGAGGGACTAAGCCAAAAAGAAAATAAATGAATGAATAATTATAACAATAATAAAAAATAACATGTTTTATATGTGTATGTGTGTATTTATCTTTAAAATTGCTTTATAATAACATTTATTTTGATAGCATTACTACTCACTACATCAAATTAGTTAGAATGCACAAATTTACAGTACGTAAAATACATTTATGAATCTTAGTTCATGTTGATTCCAGCATATTAATACATTATTAAATGTTATTTTGTATCTTGATTGATTTTAATTGTTAATATAATAATGACATTTCCGGAGAACAACATTAAGTGCCATGAACAACAGATGGCAACAAATGTACTGTTTAATTTTAATATTAGTCGATGGATTAACTTAATGCGATGCATTGCCACAGCTAGTCTACTTCTAATTGTTTGCATAATTACTGGTCTTGTGGTTTAAGATGGGAATGAGTACAAGAGAAACAAACCAGTTTGTCAACACTGAACTGAAAGCATTCTATGCTTCAGCTTTGACATCAAACACTGAATCACAAATGGGTAAAACAAACGGGTAAAAAGTTAGTGTGTTGATCCTGATATTAGATCATACCTCTCTCCCCTACTAAGGGAAAAGAAAAACTTCTGTTAATTCTGAGAATTAATTTTAAGGGATTGTGTGTAAATTGAGGTGGTTCATAATCCTCACTCCCATTATCAAATGTCAAACAGAAACCAAACGTAATCTGAAACTTGTCCTGAGGTCAGTATTGTTTTTACCTTATTGTAAGACCATGATGTGTTCTTCTACTTCATTTTACTTGTTAAGTAGATTAAATGCGCACTCAGCGAAGCATTACAAAAACTTTACTGTACCTGAAAGACAAAAAATGTTCTCTGTACTGACATAAGTGGCATGATGACTTAGCAAAGTCTCCTCACAACAAGAAGATTGCTGGTTCGAGTACTGGCTGGACCAGGAGGTCTTTCTGTGTGGACTTTGCATGCTCTGTGTGTGGGTTTCCTAAACAGTCAAAAGACATGCAATAAACAAAAGGTGAAATGGATAACTAAAATTGGAGGTAATGTGTGAATGGGAGAGTGTTTCCCGGCACTTAGGGTTGTGGCAGGAAGGGTATCCACTGTGTAAAACGTGCAAAAGTAATCGGCAGTTTATTCTGCTTGGGTGAACCCTGATAAAGAAGAGAATAAGTCGAAGGAAAGTGAATGTGATGTACTGACATTTTTTAGAACCACTAAAAAAGACATCTCATACATCGCCAAAACAAGTCTAAACCTGAGCTGTCAAGGAAAATCTAATAAACACCGAACTCTAGTTCAAAAAGGTGTAAAAGTATTCCCAAATTATCAGTTTTATTGATTTTGCCACCATTTTTGCTATTTATTTTTGCATTATGGAATCTTGATCTTTCCTCCAACACCTTTAAATATCAAAGAGTTTGATGAAGTGACTTTTATTGAAAATTAATTGTTTGAAGTGATATATCGTCTTGTGTTTGTTTAAATTACAGTAAGAAATCCTAGTAATAAACATTTTTACCACAATATGTGGTCTCAAACTACAAAAAAGCCAGTATAAGTCACTTTGTTACACTAAATAAATATGAAAACTGCTAATTAAGTGATATTTTTACAGTGGCATCAAAAAAAGATGAATGAATGACTATACATCTGATTGGTCTATTTTTGGAATACTGTTAGAAGTCTATTAGATGTTATTGACTAACGAACCGTACCTATAAAAATACGATAGAAACTGTAAAATAAATGTTTACATTTTACAGTAAACTACCGTATTCATTCATTAATAGCATTATACACCAATGTTTTGAAGTTCTACCACTGCACGTCATACCTTTGGTGCACAGACAAAAACACACTTATAAGCGAGGATTTTACTGTAGCATTTTTACATTTTTTATTTTACCATTGAGCTTATGGTCATTTTTTATCATGTGTTTAAGCACATTCGAAAACAAATTCGAAAACGCCCATTTTAAAACACTTATCTAAACGCCACCTGAATCAGTAAGCTAAACTCAATAGGAACTGGCACTGTGGGTCATTGAGAGTGGAAGTTAAACGGTGTTGACTCATGTAACACTACATGAATACAGCTTGAATTAAAGCCAAGAATACATTTCTTGGCTGTCAAATATTGGCCGATTTTGTCGAATGAGTTTATTATTATTTGGTCAAGCAGAGCAAACAATTACACTCCTACACACACTAGACTGAAGAGGCACATCTTCTGAAAGAGACACAGAAAGAAGCCATTGAAATGGAAATTAGGAGAGGGTTTCAAAAGTCAATACAACCCTGTACCATATTAGAAAGCATCTGGCTCAACTGTGTAGTTTCCAAAGGTGTACTCCAATATAATCTAGAATTGAATAAATAATGGATGAAATAGGGCTGGATGGTTATGTTTACCTTACAGCGAGAAAGTCGCTGGTTCGAGCTTTAACTGGGTCAGTTGGTGTTTCTGTGCAGTTTGCATGCTCTCCCAGTGTTTAAGTGGGTTTCCTCAGGGTGCTCCGGTTTTCCCTACAAGTCCAAAGACATGCAGTATAGGTGAATTAGGTAAGCTAAAAATATCTGTATTGTTTGTGTGTGAATTAGTGTTTATGAATGTTTCCCGGTGATGGGTTGAAGCTAGAAGGGCATCTGCTGCGTAAAACAAAAACTGGATAAGTTGGCGGTTCATTCCGTTGTGGCGACCCTAGATTTATAAGGGGATTACGCCGAAAAGAAAATGAATGGATAAAATAGTCAAGATGATTAGTATTGCAAACCAACCCCAGAAAGGTGATTAGGGCGACAATGCCGATCAGATACATGAATATCAATAATGAAGTGCTTTAAAAACTTAAAGCTTAAAGTTACATGAGACATCTACTGTATAAAACAAATACAAAGAAAAAACGACAGCATCATAAAAAAACATTTCATTCATACGAATCAGTGAAAATGACTAAGAAACACAAGCAGTAGTCTTGTAGCCCATGATTGTGATATTGCTGTCTAGTGCTGACACTTAGACTGAACATGTAATATGTTTTAGAAATATCAGTTCTCAAAATGGCCAAAACAAATAAACAGTTTAGACATGAAACTCCAGGGGTGTCTGCCCACCTATGTGTTTTTTATTTTATTTTCCAGAGCTGAGCATATTAATCTATTTTTGGCAATGAAAATGTCTTTTTTTTAACTAAGTGTAATTTATGTGAAAACACCCATTACAAGTGTTGGCAAAAAAAAAAAAAAAAAAAAAAAAAACTGGGATTAAAACAACTGTTCAAACTATCTGTGATCAGCTGAACCTCTAGAATGGGTTTAAAAATGCAATAGCTGTTTAAAACAGTGCATATTTTTTTGATAAAGGAATGATTGTAAAATCATTATGTAATTTATAACTGCTGGAATCACCATTATATAAATTCTACCTGACAAAAGTCTTATCACCTATCCAGGTTTTAGGAACAACCTTAAGGCAAAGACCTCTAGATTATGCTTGTTTTACCCAAATAAAACATAACCATGTCTTGATTTTTAATGATATAATTAGGACAGTAATGTTCTTAGACAAAAGTTACTAAACAGAAATAATGTATATTATAGAATATTAAGTCCTGGTGCAGTGAAAAAGAATTAATATTGTGTATGACTCCCATGATCTTGGAGGACTGCATCTATACATCTCTGCAAAGACTCAAATAACAAATTACTAAAGTCATCTGGAATGGCAAAGAAAGCGTTCTTGCAGGACTCCCAGAGTTCATCAAGATTCTTTGGATTCATTTTTAATGCCTCCTTCATCTTACCACAGACATTCTTAATAATGTTTATGTCTGATGACTGGGCTGGCCAATCCTGGAGCACCTTGACCTTCTGTGCTTTCAGGAACTTTGATGTGTAAAATGAGGAGGACTATCCTGCAGAAGAATTTGCCCTCTCCTGTGGTTTGTAATGGGCATCACAAATGTCTTGATACCTCAGGCTGTTGATGTTGCCATCCACTCTGCAGATCTCTCACACACCCCCATACTGAATGTAACCCCAAACCATGATTTTTCATTCACCAAATTTGACTAATTTATGTGAGAATCCTGGGCTCATGCAGGTTCCAATAGGTTTTTTGCAGTTTTTGTGATGATTGGGATGCAGTTCAACAGATGATTCATCGGAAAAATGCCACTTTACCCAATGATCCAGTAGAAGTCAAGTTATTATTTGTTTAACAATTAACAATTTAATGTTAACAGCATTTGCGTGTGGCTCATCTTTGCAGAAAGGCTTGAATAAACAAATACATGATCAAACAATAACAGTTGGGAATGTTCCTGGTTCAGACTTAATGTGTTTTTTTGGACTCATAAACTGGATCTCTCTTTCTTCATGTTTGTCTGTCACTGAATTTGCAGTTTATCTGACAGTTTATATGCCACATGCCAGAACAGTGGGCAGGGAGAATCAGCTCATTTGCATTTAAAGGCACAGGCTAAAAACTTCTACAATTTGAGCATTTCATAATAAACGATCTGATGGAGTCTTTTAAAAATAGCACTTTTTGAATGCTCCGAATACTTTTTGCATTTGACTGTTTCTTTTTACACACAGTCATCAACATTTCTACTTCTGTGATATATTTCACAGAAGTCAGCCATAAGAGTGAATGATAATTCCAATACCTTACTCAACTATCCAGGTAAAATAACCACAGTTCTTCATGTAATTATATGCATCCAGAGGATTAAGAAAGACAGTTTGCTGATGGTGTTGTGCTTACAAGGATGCAATTCATTTGATCCTTGAGAACACACTGCCTGGTTACAGATTAGCATTGAGGCATCAACACTTTGTCAAAGGCAATCTGCTTGCTTTTCTTCAACACAAAGTCTTTCCCAAAAGCAAAGAAAACCCTGGTCGCATCTGTTCAGTATTATCATGGGTGGTAATGGATTGGACAGTTTGAACCGATACGATCAAAGGGGTGAAAATGAGCAAGACAGGGAAATGAAGCAAGTGCACATCATGACCCAAGCAGCATGGTTTATTACACAAAATGTTTTTGGAGTAGCATCAATCAAAGTACAGGCTGTCGATAAAGATATTATGTTGATGGAGTGAGTTTACTGCAAGCACACATCTTGACATGTTCTAACAACACCTTCTTTAACCAAATGTCATGACAATGGAGTTTTGAGCGCTTATAGCAGCATTGTCTGAATGCCAAACGAACAAGATTTCCCTAAGTTTTAATGAAAAATAAATGTATTTACATATTCTGTCTGATTATATAATATTGATTTTTTTTTTTTTTTTACCAGTGAAGATTACTGCCTACGGGAGTGCATATTTTAAAATCATATTTCATAAGTTACATATTTTCTAAGGCACAAAATAATATTAATAACAAATTTAAACAAGATACAGTGTTTGAAAAAAAAAAAAACACTGATCAAGGAGAACACCGTTAAACTAGTTTAGAAGTTTTAAGGAAATTACTAACTCTTATTAACCCTTGATTAACCCTAATCTCAAGGCGGTTATTTTGGCTGTTTTTAAATTTAGTAATTTAATAACATTGTCAAAATATTACCCACATATCTATAATACCTATGACTTTGCCTATGTGTGTATATTATTATTTTATTAAGATGACAAAACACAAAAGAGTTCTAAGTACTTCTACTTTGAATTAACATAGGGGTCAAAACAACTGCATGCATTTCAGTATCTGCTACTCCCCTTTTGAATTTTCCTTTACTGCACACATTATAATAGATCTATATACACATATACACACACACACACACACATATATATATATATATATATATATATATATATATATATATATATATATATATATATATATATATATATACACCAAGGTCTTATCTTTCCAAAAAAAAATAAAAAAAAACAAAATCAATATTGGTCTTAAAGAAACATTTCAGCTTTAAATGTACATGACAATATGTCTTATATGAGAACTATCAGAATCACTACATTTTAATATATAACTCTGGAACAGTAGTTCTGCTGTTAACCCCAATTTTAAGTCCTACATTCATCAGTCAATCAGCCAACAATAACCATGCAGGATAATAAGCCTTACAATACTGCAAAAATTGGTTCCTTGAAGCTAAAAACTCTAAAATAATGAACTAGCAGGCCAGAGTCCTGATCTAAACCTGAATAAAAACCTCTCACAAAGTTATAGTTTGGAAACCGACTAGCAATGTCTATGAGAGATGTTTATAAGAGACTATTGATGTCCTGTTGTCACAAATATGCTGAAGTCATTTAAGGCAAAGGATTTTACACATATTTACACACAGCTGAACCTTTAGATATTTACTTGTAAACTTTCTTTGTGCTACACTAATTTCTGTTCTTTAATTTGTTTCACTGTGGTTTCAAAATAGATAGATGGGTTTACTTCTTTTAACACTGTTTTACCAGCACGGTAAAGCCTAAACTAAAATGTCTTAAACGTTGTAATATTTCTAAATTTTGGACAACAAAGACTGCATTATTTCTGAAAAAAAAATAAATAAATCAAATTGTTTTCTAATGGTAATATCCACTGTATGTTATAGTAGGCAAATAAAAGACAACCAATCACATCTTCAAATGAAGTGATTTTTAAAATATGCTGCTCAAGGTTACAGGAAGAACATTTCAGACAAGAAAAACAGGCATACTGACGTACTTGTTATGGCATTTGAAAAGAATGCAGAAAACAAAGAATCTTGATGTGGAAGAATAGTTGAGACATTATAATTGTTCTGGACTAGACACGCAAATTACTTCTACTAAAAGACCTGGGGCATCATGTATCAACGCTGCGTACGCACAAAAACTTTGCGTACGGCAGGTTTCACGCTCAGAATCGCTCACGTTTGGATTTACTAACAATGAACTGAACGTGGGAATGTGCGCAGCTTCACGGCAGCTTTCTGGCTGGCGTACGCACATTTTTTGTGCGTGTCTGTTTTATTTCCATTGCTGACTCCTAAAGGCAGTTGTGTTAAATTGCTCTCTACAAAGTGTCTGAGCCTTGCAATGGCAGCTGTATGAGACGGGTTCATCCAGCAGGTACATAAGGTTTCCATACCATACAGTTGACCAGCTAAACATTAAAGCACAATTTGCAGCGGTCGCCTGTTTTCTCAATGTAATCTGTGCAATCTACCGCACACACATTGCTATAAAGACACTATCTGAAGATGAATTTGCATGCGTGAATCAGAAACATTTCCATTCAATAAATGTGCAAATAAAATATGATGCACAAACTTATTGATGATTCCTACTTGTCTTTCTCGTGATAAATAGTAGGCAAAATCTGATATGTAGCGGGGGAAAAAAGAAGAAAGAGTTCATCAGACACTGGATTCGAGCCGAGCTCATGCTCGAACGTGTCAAAACATGAGCACATGCGTCTTACGAGCAGCGCCACTGAGTCTGTTTAAAGTGCTGCAACATTTTACACATATAAATCACACTATTTCTTTTTTTTAATGCACTCAGTGCGATGTTCAGACCCAACTGTGTTAACCGCATCAGCTAAACTCACCCACTCTATTTTTTTTCTTTTGTTGGTAATTCCGGAGAACAAACTTGCAAATAACAACGCTTTTCTCCGGTCCACCTCCGAAAGCAGCACCTCCAATTCACATTCTGTTCAAAGTTTCTCTTTTTGCTTGCTTTTGCCATTGCTCTTTCGTTGGGTTTTTCCATTAGCATAGTCATTAGCATATTCATACGGGGCAGGAGGCAGGGAGGGGTTTTGTGTTCGTGCATGTTGCACTCAGTTTCACGTTCATTCGGATGTACAAATAAATATGCGTGAGATTCGACGTACGCAGTGTTTCATACATCTGAATTTTTTTCTGCATACGCACATTTACAGCTTTGTGCGTACGCAATGTTTTAGTAAGATTTCCACGCAAGTCTTCCTACATGAGGCCCCTGGGGGTTCAGATAGTGTCTTTATAGCAATGTGCGTGCGGTAGATCGCTCAGATTACATTGGGAAAACAGGCGACTGCTGCAAATTATGCTTCAATGTTAAGCTGGTCAACTGTATGGTATGGAAACCTTACATACCAACTAGATGAACCCGTCTCATACAGCTGCCATTGCAAGGCTCAGACACTTTGTAGAGAGGAATTTAACACAACTGCCTCTAGGAGTCGCCAATGGAAATAAAACAGACACGCACAAAAAATGTGCGTACGCCAGCCAGAAAGCTGCCGTGAAGCTGCGCATAATCCCACGTTCAGTTCATTGTTAGTAAATCCAAACGTGAGCGATTCTGAGCGTGAAACTTGGCGTACGCAAAGTTTTTGTGCGTACGCAGTGTTGATACATGAGGCCCCTGGCATCTGTTGTGTGATGAACTGATAAAGCTTTAATCACGATCTTGCCAAATAACAATGACCACAACAGTGCTGAATTTGAAGATAATTATGAAAGTGTTTTCTTTCATTTTCTCTTATGCAGAAGGACCCTCCTCCCCCATACTACTCTGTGGCAATGGAACCACAGGCCCCTCCTATGACATACGAGGAGGTGATTTTTCAGGACAAATATGGTGTCACACAGAATACTGTGCCATACTACATTCCTAAAGAACCACCACAAGTACACGTAGCAGCCGTCATCGTCACACAAGGCGTTGTCAGTAAGTATTGGATCATTTAAGTCATTCTATTTGGTATTAACAATACATAACATGCAGGAGAAAAAGTCTTCTGAATAATACACTGCTGCTAATTATAACTTATACTTCACAAATAGATCTTAATTAAAACAGCAAGGGCAAATACAGCTGCAAGGTTTGCAAGACAGATGCCATTAAAACTGGAAAACAAGAATGAATGTTGGAGACATTGTACTCTGTTGCTTAAAAAGTATATATTTTGTATATGTATATATACACACAGTTGAGGTCAGAATTTTTAGGCCCCCTTTGAATTCTTTTTATTTTTTAAATATTTCTTAATTATGTTTAACAGAGCAAGGAAATTTTCACAGTAGGTCTGATAATATTTTTTTTCTTCTAGGGAATTTTAAGGGCAAAATTATTAGTCCCTTTAAGCTATATATTTCAATATTCTACAGAACAAACCATCATTATACAATAACTTGTCTAATTACCCTAACCTGCTTAGTTAACCAAATAAACCTAGTTAAGTCTTAAATGTCACTTTAAGCTGTATAGAAGTGTCTTGAAAAATATCTAGCTAAATGTAATATTCTGTTTCATACAAAAGATTAAAAAAATATATAAAAAAAATCAGTTATTAGAAATGAGATATTAAAACTATTATGTTTAGAAATGTGTTGAAAAAAAAATCTTCTCTCTGTTAAACAGAAATTGGGTAAAAAATTTAATGGGGGTTAATAATTAAGAGGGGCTAATAATTCTGACTTAAACTGTATAAGGGCAATATCACACTTGTAACATTGTGATATGGCTGTATATCGGCACTGATGGGAGGCGTGCATTCCCCTAGTGTCTCACCAGTGAGGATATACAGCCATGTTGCACTGCTATGAGTGTGACATTGCATTTATACAACATTTTGACGGCATAATCATGTAATTAAAAAAGAAAATCAAACAGCCCTTTCGTATGAGGAACTACTTTCTTCTGCCATTCCTTCACATCTGCATCTCACGTCAGAACAGCAGAAACCATTGCTATTTTTACAAACTTCACTTTAGAGATAGGATTTTAATTATTCCATACTATTTGAATTATTTGACTTATTCAATACATGCCAAACGTCAACCGTCTTTGCTCTGCTCAATTACAGGTTAATGGCCACTGATACGCTGAATCTCTGAAATGATAAATATTTCATATGAGCAGTATCCTTATAAATAAACTGCATCAAACTTGCAATCTAAACAATTGCATTCTCACCTGAAAAAGCCTCAAAAGTACATTATGTTTTCCAACAGCTATATTTGTCTAACTGTAGTGAGTTAGTATAGCTTGCTGCTTGGCACTCTATGTGGGTGGAGTAATACACAAGGGCGAAGAGGCTGTAGGAGTGCTGTCATTGCAGAATATTGCATGACCATCAGCCAATCAGATTTAAGAACCAGAGTAAACTGTTGTGTAAATACATACTTAAATATCTCATTTTGAATTATAATATTAAATTAATTCATAAAAAAAAAAAAAAAAAAAACGTTGACATTGTGAAATGGTTCTTTGTAAAATATTTCCTTTTTGTCACATGAGAATAAAATGTCTTGACAAAGAAATAATACTCAATTAATTAAGATTAACTGATTTAATTCAACAACTTCATTTTTGGCCACATTTTATTATTTTTATTCACTCATTTAGTGGCTCCTTTGTTCTTAATCTTAATAATTCCTTTGTTATAATTTAGTTCCTTTGTGACAATGATTTCAATTCCGAGTGAAGTAATTAAAGCACTGGATTGAATTCAAAACTTCCTTTTTAGTTTGAATTATTATACAGCGACACTCTCATTATGAGTTCAAATTAACAAAAATCTGTGAATACGCAGTCCTTAAATAATGTTCATACTTTTTTAGAATTATTTTGTCGGATATACATTAATAATTCAACAGGTTTACTGACTTGTTCTTGTTTCATCAGCTCCTAGAAGGCAGCAGTCTTGTGGACGGACTGCTAAATGTTGGGGTGGATTGGTAGGTGTCCTGCTGGTGTTGGGTCTCATTGCGGTGGCCATCTGGCTTGGAGGTAAGGCACTGGAACTGTGATGATCTGCAGTGTTGGAAAAAAAAATCATTAAAAACAACCATGAGTATTGTATTGCTTTTAAAGTAATATTTCCCAACACTGATGATCTCTCATGACATGATATACCGGTAATGTTTGCATTGTGTCTAAACCTCTGTTTTTTTCCATTATATTTTATAAAGTGCATTATGGATCCCAGCCTAATTCAGAACACGGCAACAATGACAACAATGACAACAATTGCATGGAAGATGATTGCAGTAGTGAAGAGAGCCACTTTGAAGGTGCACATGATGGCATAAAGGTTCCTCCCACCTACTCCAGCTCCTCCTTGCTGTGTGACGGCGTTCAACACTACCAACATGGCATCGATGAGATGGATTGTGGTAAGACAATCATTTATTCATTATTTCCCTTAGTCTCTATTTCAGAGTTTGCTACAGCAGAATGGATCATCAACTATTCCAACATATGTTTAAAGCAACGGATGTCCTTCATGCATGCGCAGTAGTATTGGTTCACTGCTTCTCAAATCTGATCTCAGTTTACTGTTCTAATAACTGAATAACTCCAGTTCACTTAAAAGATGCATTTTAAAACAACAATGCATTTGCACTCGCAATCACTAATACAGAATTAAAACCCATTATTGGGCAAAAACGTGTAAAATTAATCATTTTAATTATCTGTATTTAATGCTTTCACCGTGCTGCTGTCATGTCTACTTGTTGTTTTTGTCACGGGAGCGACGACTGCCAGGAGGAGAATCGGTTTGATCTGGCCAATGGCATCAAGATTTCAGATTCTGAGGTGCCGTACGGATCAAACAACTGGCAACGTGGTTTATATATTAAATACATTAACAAAGACAAAAACGAAGAACATTTTTGCTATAATTTTAGTTAGTTTCAGTTAGTTTTGTATGTACACAATAAAGTTTCAGTTAGTTCTATTTTTTTTTACTTATTATATATATATATATATATATATATATTTTTTATCTTTATTTGTATTTCGGTAAACGAAAATGATTTAAAATTTCATTTTTGGTTCATTTTCGTTAATTATAATAACCTTGATTCCATTACAATTTATTGGTTAACCACAAAATTTCCAATTTGACTATTAGATATCATTACGAACACATTTAAACTGTGATGGTTTATATTGTTTGTGTGTTTCAGGATGGATCAGTTCAACATTTTGTTAGTTTTAGTCATGAAAAAAGTAGCTAGACAACAATTTGGTTTCACAACTATGAATCTGTTTTATGGACAACAGAGAAGTGGACACAATACAAAGAGATTATTGGCTGAAGGTTTAATGATGTTTTGACTTTAATTTGAAACCACAATACTGTCATGTCTTGTTAGGAAAACATGGTTTAATGAGAAACTGTGCTGCTCAGCAATACATATTTACAGTAAACAGGCCTCTATTTATTTGATTATGAGAAATTTTCTTTAAAACTGCACTAGTTTGTGGAAACTCTGCAACGCTTACATTTAGAAATGAGGAAAGACAATAGGGATAGAAAAAGGGGGTATCCAAAGTTCTCAGAGGACCACTTATTAAGTTTTAACCCTATTTAGACACATCAAAACCAGTGAATTCAGCCAAAATGCCTAGGAAAATGTGCAAGAGATGAAAAAAGATAAGTAATAAATGTACTTATTAACACTAAAGATATCTACACTTATACAAATACTGTATACTTTTTAAAAGGATTCTAAGTTTAAAATAAACTTTTTAACGACTCCTTACAACTATTATATAAACGACTCCTTACAACTATTATGAAAGAAAATATTATATTCATGTTAGCTGCAGTTTTTGTTCTCAACAGAGCTTAAATATAGACTTGAGTAACCTTACTGGCCACTTTATTAGGTACACCCATTCAAATGATTTTATATAGTTGAAGTCAGAATTGGTAGTAAGCGCAGTAGGTAGTGCTGTCGCATCACAGCAAGAAGGTCACTGGTTCAAGCCTCGGCTGAGTTGGTTGGCGTTTCTGTGTGGAGTTGGAGCGCATGTTCTCCCAGCACTTGCGTGGGTTTCCTCCGGGTGCTCCGGTTTCCCCCACAGTTCAAAGACATGTGGTACAGGTTAAATTAATAGGCTAAACTGTCCGTGGTGTATGAGTGTGAGTGAGTGTGTATGGATGTTTCCCAGAGATGGGTTGCGGCTGAAGGGGCATCTTCTGCGTAAAACATGCTGGATGAGTTGGCGGTTCATTCCGCTATATAAATATTTAGGGTTTATTATTATATAAATATATCTTTGTTATATATAGGACAGTGGAGTTAAGACAATAATACACAGGAAGCAGAAAGAGGGGAAGGACCAGCAAAAGACCTCAAGCCGGGAATCGAACTTGGGTCGCCATGAGCATTTCAGTGCTATATGTTAGCTCTATTAACCAGTAGGTTATTAACACTGACTGATTATTAAACAAATTATCTAATCAGTCAATCACATGGCAGCAGATTAATGCATGTAGATGTGGTGAAGGGGCTCTACTGTAGTTCAAACCAAGCATCAGAATGGGAAAAAAATGTGATTTAAGTGACTAAATGACATAATGAGTTAAATGACATTAATGTCTTAATGACAGACGATCTGGTATAAATACTTCAAAAACTGATCTACTGGGATTTTAATACACAACAAAAATGGGTTTTATGGAAAATATTTAGAGAAACAGAAAATATACAGCAAATGTAATAATAAGGTTTTTAGTATATAAATAAGACTGGTTGTTATCACAAACAACAAGTTTTAATACTTTCAGTATTTCAAGTATATTGCTCTTGCCTAATTACTGTAGGTTCAAATAATTACTGTAAAATGACACAAATGTGACCCTGGACCCTAAAAATCACAAGCACCCTCTTTGAATGTTTTCACACGATTGAGAGGGTGTTAACAGTGGTTATCAGCTGATATGGGCTTTTTTGTGTTTACTAGTAGACTAGTAGAAGAGATCTAGAGAAGACTCCAGATCCAGATTTGTTTTTTACATTACTGTGACAGTTGTGGGTTGGAGTAGAGGTAGAAGTTAATGAAAAACAATTATTAACTTTCGGCCACAGGCATATGTGTTGTATAGCTGATTAACCATGCGTATGGATTATAACAGCCTAACCTACTAGTAGGCGCAAAAGGCCTCTACTGGCCCATATCTATCAGCTGATAACATTTAAATCGGCTGTCACAAGTTTTTAGTTTTTTATATATTGAGACTAACACATATACTAATATGTATGTAATACTTCCATTGATGTAGAGTTTGTTAGTACAATGAAAATCTAGAATCTAAAAAAAAAATAAATACTAAGATAATTTCCTTTAAAGTTGTCCAGATTAATTACAATCAGAAACAGACTTTTGATTTATTTACAAATTATATATTTTTTATAATATTGGTATGTTTATGATCATAGAACATAATTTTTAATATTCTAACATTTGTTTGCATTTTGATCTATATGCATTTTTGTCTATTTCTAAATGGTTTTGTCTTTCAAGGTCACAAATACTTATTATGGATGGACATGCAATTTTAACAATCCTTTCTGTTGTTTTCAGTGAGATTCGGTGCAGGAGGAGAGTTGCAGCTCAAAACTGCTCATAATGGTCAGTTCCTTCCGGTATGTTATGAGGGATGGAATATCAGTTACGCTGACCAGATCTGTGAACAGCTAGGCTTTAGACGGTAAACATATTTACCCAACACACTAACAAAAATTATTCCTAGAAGTCAATTACCCGCTCTTCTACCATTATTTACTTGCCCTTATGCATCCCAAACCCATATGACATTCATTAGAACACAAAATAAAGGGCTTTGAAGAACATTCACACAGGCCTTGATTAGCATTGACATGGGGAGCAAAACTTCCATAAAGCAACATATCATTCTAGATTACTTGTATATCTGTTATTATGATTTATTCAGAATGTGACATGTTTTATTAATGTTATGAAATTACAAAAGTGTGCATTTGTGGGTGAAATGTCCACTGTTCTGCACTCAAATACTGACTTTTGTCACTTGTTAAAACTAATTATTTGAAAATGAGTTGAATCAACACAATTCTTAAGTTGTTGGGTAACCTGTACTACGGTAATTAACCTAATTAAGCCTTAAAAATAGACTTTAAGCTGAATACTGGTGTCTTAAAAAAAGCAAATAGTAAAATATTATTTACTGCCATCATTCAAATATAAAACTAATCAGTAATTAGAAATTAGTTTTTAAAACAAATATGTTTTGAAATGAGGTGAAAAAAATATATTTCCATTACACAGGAATAGGGGGAAAAATAAACAGGGGGCTAATAATTCAATTGGGCTAATAATTCTGACTTCAACTGTAACTTGATTTTTTTCCTCAGGTCTTATGAATCAAGTGCACTGAATAGCAAGAGCTCCGAAGCCCTTATTTTAGAACCAACATCAGGCTTACTTATACAGGGACTGGCCAATGTCAGGTAAGAGAAGATTGTAGAAAGAGTGTTAAATATTTTGCTTTGTCTGTGGCTTCATCAACCGTACATAATATCTTTCATTTGTTCAGCTCGGGTTGTTTGGACGACAAATCGGTCTCACTTCAGTGCTCCGGTAAGAATTAAACTTCACTCACTAATTACTGTGATGCATTGTTGAATGAGGCATCACAGTAAACATGCCATTCTTATTTCCTCCATTTGTAAGTTAGTGAGGGACATATTGTGTGGATAAGTGAAATAATGACCTGTTTTTTTTTTTCTTTTCTTTGTTTACTCTTCCAGCTTTATTTAGTGCATAACGTAGTTATTGTTAGAATATATGGTTCAAATACTGTAACTGTAGTCTTGAGTTTTCTCCCAGGAATGTGCACATCAAATATATTTCATTCAAAAAATTACTTCTTTGTTTTGTCATAGTTTCACGTCCCACTTTATATAGTTACCTCAATTACATTGTACTTACATTTAAGTTAATCATTTGGTACGAGGCACTTATTATGTATATGCATCCCAGCAAACATTTATGTGTTTAAAAGACATCTAATAGACATCAAACATAGACAGCTCGGGTAAAACAAAGCTAAACTTGGGCTGGTAATGAAAATTTAAAAGATGTCTAATAGCCCAAAACTAAACCAGCTGTCAAATAGTCATTCTTTTCTGTTTATTTGACGACTAGTATAGTTTTGGCCTATTCTTAGATGTCTTTTAGATTTTCATTGACAGCGCAAGTTTAGCTTTGTTTTAGCCAAGACAACTATGTTTAGACATCTATTAGACATCTGTTAGATTTTAAAAATAAAATGCTTGCTGGCATGTTACCTATATTTAAAAATTATCTGCATGTAATTTCATCTTTAATTACATTGACCCATCCTTTACACCATAACTCCCTCTTAAACCTAGCACTAAAAGCTTACATCCCTCTCTGCAAATCACCCTCCAAAGGTGACATGCTTCCTGATTGCATAAACACACACTAGAAAACATTATACATAACATTCATCAGGCTTTATAGTAGAGTTGCTAATTACAATAAAGAACTTAAAAATAGTCCTTGACATTTGCCTGTCATTGTCTGTCTGAACCACATCTGTGAATAAACAGATGACATCATCCTTTATACATGAACAGGGTGAGTAGAGGTATGCAATTACGTATTTTGACTGGAAGGTAGGACATGTTCATAATATGACTGAATATTTTGATTAGACAAACTTTTCTTGGCCCTACACTTTCCACAAAATATACACATCAAATATATTTTGACCTTTTTAATTTTATTTTGAGAATAAATAATTTAACATTCAGAATGTAAAGAGATTTTCGACCAGCACAAAAAAAAAAACAAACAAAAAAAAAGGTTTCTGAAGATAATCTGATTTAGTATAGTTAAGTGGGACCCATTATTTTTTCATCTTAACACCACAATAAAACCAATTCATTTTAAAAATTTTCTTTCAGATTGTGGCAAACAGCAAAGTTCCTCCAGGATCATAGGGGGCACTACTTCTGAACTTGGCCAGTACCCTTGGCAGGTCAGCCTGCATTACAACAAAGCCCATGTTTGTGGTGGAACACTCATCTCTCCAGACTTCATCGTGTCAGCTGCCCATTGCTTCCAAGGGTTGGTTCACACTTTATTTTAATCTAGACATTGAGGGAACATAGCTTGAATACGCTGAAACAGTTTCTAACCTGCTCAGAACAGACAACTTCTGTTTAAAATGGTGAAAATACCATAGCTAGGGCAAATACCATTGCATTTTATAGTTTATATATACCCACACAGGCTCATTCTGAAAATGCAGCTCTATATACATTTCTGGAGATTGCAAATTATGTAGCCAGAAGTATGTATGACTGCATTTTGTCTTTAAGCAATACAGGGTGGTATGACGATATGACCAGGGATGGATGCAAGACAATTGGTGCTTTGGAAACAATTGGTGCTTTGTCTGTTGGTCGGGTTTTTTAAAAAGGAGTTGGGTGGAGTTGATCGGTCAGTCAGTCAGTAAGTCATTCAGTCAGCAGCAGCCTCTGGTGGATTTACGTGAGAACAGGAGGCACGAACGGCACTCGCAAGAGAAATTTAAGATATCAAAAAGCATACAGAGTGGCCTCTCGTGGATTTGTGAAAACAAAAACTGCAAAAAAAATTAATTAATTTAAATTAAAAAAACGTACCTCCTGGGATGTATTTGGTTCTTTTAAGGAATGTATATAGGAGTATGTATTCAGAATGAGCCTGAGATGATATATACTGTTAAGACAAACAAACAAACAATGAGTCAAAGTGTAAGGCAACTTGCTGCATAGCTTTTTTTTTTTTTTTTTTTTAAATCTAATCAGCTATGAAGACACGGTCAAGATAATCTTCTACAGTTCAAACTGAACATCAGAATGGGGAAGAAAGATAATAGAAATGACTTTGAATGTCGCATAGTTGTTGGTGCCACCTGAGCTGGTCTGAGTATTTCAGAAACTGCTGATCTACTGGGGTTTTCACGCACAACCATCTCTAGGGTTTGCAAAAAATGGTCTGAAAGGGGGGAAAAATCCAGTGAGTGGGAGTTCTGTGGGCGCAAATGCCTTGTTGATGCCAGAGATCAGAAGAGAATGGCCTGACTGGTTCGAGCTGAAAAAAAGGCAGTAATTCAAAAATTACACCCGAGGTATGCATAAGAGCATCTTTGAACTCACATGTTAAACCTAGAGACAGATGGGATACAGCAACAAAAGATCACACCGGGTGCCCCTGTCAGCTAAGAACAGGAAACTTTTATTAAAAAAAAACGTTGCCTAGCCTCGATTTCTGCTACAACATTCGGATCAACATCATGAAAGTATGGATCCATCCTGCCTTGTATCAACGGTTCAGGTTGGTGGTGGTGTAATGGTGTAGGGGATATTTTCTTGGCACACTTTGGGCCCATTAGTACCAATTGAGCATTGTTTCAACGCAACAACCTACATGAGTATTGTGGCTGACCATGTTCATCCCTTTATGACCACAGTGTTCACATCTTCTGATGACTACTTTCAGCAGCATAACGCATCATGTCATAAAGTGCAAATAATCCCTGACTGGTTTCTTGATCATGCCAATGAGTTCACTGTACTCAAATGGCCTCCACAGTCACCAGAACTCAATCCAATAGAGCACAGCATCATGTCGATATGGACCAAAATCTCTGAGGAATAATTCCAGTTGTTTAATCTATGCCATCAAGGATTAAGGCAGTTCTGAAGAAAAAATGGGGGTCAAACCCTGTACTGGTAAGGCCACCATATTTATAAACACATTGGACACTTTATTACATTTAATACTGTGCATCTTGCGATAATGGAGTTGGACCCAGTTTTGCCTTCAGTACATATTTGTGCTGTAAAAAATGCTGGATTCCACTCAATCAATTTGTGTTGAGACAACAAGAAGGAAATAACTTATTGTTTTTTTTTAAAATAAATTTAAGGTAATTGAACACAAAACATTTTAGTTGTCTCCGCAGCACATTTAAGCTCATTTTAAATTAGTTTAAACAAACGGCAAACACCATTTTTTTATTTTTTGTCTAATCATTTGTACCACTCATTTAACAAGATGACTCACAGCCAAATTTAATAGATTTTGGTCCACATTGACATGATAGCATTATGCAGCGGTTGCAGATTTGTCTGCTGCGCATTCATGATCCCAATCTAATGTTTCAGGACATCCCAAAAAGTGCTTTTTAAGAGTCAGATTTGAGGCCATCGGGTTTATTGAACTCATTGTCATTCAAGAAACCAGTTTGACATGATCTGAGCTTCGTCATGTAGCATGGCATAACGTAGGAAGTAGCCATGACAACAGTAGTTCACCGTGGCCATGAAGGGTTGGACATGGTCAGAAACAATACACAGGAAGGTTGCTGTGTGTATACTGTGCTCAGTTGATACTAAAGTTCCCAAATAGTGCCATGAAATTCTCCACCACATCATTACAGCTCTAACAGCTTTAACAATTGATGACAGACAGAATAGATCATTGCTTTGTGTTGTTTATTTCTAATTTACTACTATCAACATATTGAAGGAGAAAATCAGTTCAGGCAGTTCTTCGTAGATGTTAAAACCAAAAATAAATAAATAAATAATAATCTGCCAATCGGCTAAGCAAAATAATTTTGCTTTCAGTTTGAAATAAAATATTTTATTTTACCCCAATGGCGAATAATGTTGCTTATTTTAGGGGAAAAAATAAAAAAACATTTAACAGTGACCTATCATTTCTGAAAACAAAACAATATCCAATAAAAACATCTGTCAGTTTAATAAATGTAATAGTACATTTGTACAGAAAGTAGGGAAAAGCGATTTTGAAACATTTGCAAATCTTTTCAGATTTGTAGGAGTGGTTGGGAGCTGGTATTAAACTGACGATTTCAGCTGCTGAGCTTGTTTTCATCTTATAGTATTCCTAACCTCAAAATTTGCATGATTTGTAGCTGAATGCCGTTGATCTGTTGAACCGTGAATGAATCCCTAATGGTTTTAGCTGATCACAGATAAGTCTTTTGTTGCACTGTAGGCTCATGACTAATTAAATTAAAGTTCAATTGACCTTTAACAAAGCCACGCCCAAAAACCGCCACTCACGAATCGTGGCTTAGCAACTGTAGCTACGCGCAGGGGTTATATCAAGCTTTCGAGCAAGTGCATATGTATTGTGCAAATCTGATACCCGGTATCCTTAAAGTTTGGACGGGATGGTGGAATTGTTTGACTTTTCAAAACCTAAAACCCAAGAGGAGAAATGCCAGCGTGAATCAAGCTGTGTGAGGGGTGCTAAAGGTGCTGAGTTTTGACACATGTCACATTGCACATTTTGACACTGAATTCCTGACACATTCAGTGATAGACAGACGGCAATAACTCACACACCTCTTACCCTAAACAGATCTAAACTGTGTTTCCTACAAAAAACACAAAGCTGGTTATGTTTCACAGCTGTCTTATTCCTTTTTGTTTTTTTGCTTGATATTGTGAGTAATGCTCCATTTAAGCCTTCGCCATAACGTTAGTAACTTAGTCATACTAATAGCGAATATGTGATAATGACATGAGTTATTGATCCTGAACAGCGAATCTGTTGCTAACTTTACTGAACGTCATATTTCCATCTATTTCAAGTTACGAATATTTGAAATTACAAATCAACAGAGCAAAACCGAGATGTGTTCACAAACTGAGCAGCTGCGATCAATATACAGTACTTTACCCCAGCTGTTTTTCAGTCATTTATAAAAAGCACACAAACATACTGACAGTAATAGGTAACTTAATGTACATTTTGGGTCGATGCTAATATTCGGCACAAATCCATCAGTTTCCTTTTCTGGCTGTTCTTTCTATGAATGAACTCTGTCATGCGTGTTTCCTTGTCTGTTAGTAATGCTATATTTCATTGCACAACAATTAATCTATCAGTTTTTTTGCCTAAAAATAGAGAAATCACAGTTTAATTTGTTATTATTAAATTATTTTAAAATTTCACCCTCCTGCTAAGCAAAAGCTAAGCTGTTGAATGGTTAGCGTATGATGCGGCTAGGCTAAGCTAGCTTCAATTTTGATTGATTTATTCTCTAATCTGTTGCCTATTATGCAGGGAATATACCCCTGTATTGCTTACTGCATTCCTTTTTTGTCTGGCTTTCTCGGATATCTCACCTGTTCACCAAAAATGACATTATATCCCTGGCAATGTCTGACACCTGCGCACACACATTGAAAAAGCCGTGCCAGGCATAAAAGCTTGACAGGCATAGCAACAGTTACTAAGGAGGGTGGGGCTTAGCAAAGGGTCCATTGAATTACAATCAGTAAAATAAATTAATTAATAAATACGACAGAGAGAAAACGATACATGATTACTTAAATTCAGTCTCCCAAGAACTCTCCTTTAATTAAAGAGAACACTCCATAGCTACTTCATTGTGTACATGTTTTCAACTGCTCATCACCGTAAATATCTAATTAACCAATTATATGGACATTGGCTTTTTCCCAATGCCTAGGCATCTGACTTGTTCCCTCAATGAGCTATGACTCTGTTTGTGCATGAAGACACCTTCTAAAACAGATTTCAGACATACTTCTTAACAGTTCAAGCATGTACAACAAAATGAAGTAAGTTTTGGGGATAAATGAGAGAATATTTGCTTGGAAAACATTTGGCAAAAGGATACATACATACATTATGAACCCTAAGTTGAGCTTCCAGAAGCCATCTTTATATTTTAGCTCAACTATCATGAATGGAATGCACAGGGAAAGAGACATCAATGTGTTGATGTACTTCCAACTGAAACCGAATAGAGTTGAAGGCAGGCTTACTCCTTGTGGACCATTCTCTCTTAGCAAACTAATGGTAAGAGGCACCTGGTTAAAAATATTGTGGCTGAAGCTGTAAACAGAGTAAGACCGCATTTACTTATGTAGAAGCAAATTATCAGACTTTGATTGATGATTACCAAATGTTTTTTGTTTGTTTGTTTGTTTGTTTGTTTTAGAGTAGATTAACCTGCACAGATTAGTTGTCCACCTAAAGAAAAACAATGTGCCCTATCATACAACCGGGCAATCAGGCACAAGACGTGTATGGTGTGATTTGTTGCTATTTTCAGACCAGCGCAACTCGAATTTTCATTACATTTAATGTTTTGTGCCACGTTGTTTAAATAGTAAATCTTTATGTGCCACTTTGGACTTATGGGTGTGCTGGTCTATAAAGGAGGTGTTTTAAGGTGCATTGTTGGCATATTGCTATTTTGAGGAACTGAAATAGACCGCACCATTGACTAACTGAAAGCTGGTCTAAAGTCCACACAGAGTGTATTAGTTAAAATAAATTGCAGTGCAGAATCGTTTTGAACCCAATGGCCTTGCTAATCTTTTGTACCATTTAAGTTACAAGCACGATCATTGGCAGCTTTTGCTATTATTTATACTGTAACTGCTTTGAGTATGAGTGTTCAGGAATTGTAACCATTTTTGTCATATTTGTTTTGTCTTGATCGCAGCAAAATGGCAAATTCAGCATACTGGCTAGTTTATGTTGGGATTGTTTCCCAGCAATCCCTGGGGATGCCCTATCTAGTGAAGAAGATTATAGTCAGTGAGAAGTACAACAGCGACACCAATGATAATGATGTGGCTTTACTGATACTCAGCAGACCTGTGGCATTCTCTTGTAAGTTCAGTTCACTTTCTTTAACACTTCATCAAAACACTAAAATATCTGAACTGGGCGGTATGACTAAAATCTTATTTTATGATATGAGAAAGTTTATTTCACTTTAACAATATCTTTCACAATATTATTATTATTTATTTTTTTTTAATATAAAGGTAGGTATTTCAGAAAATGTACAAAAGGGCTTTATATAGTAAGCAGTGGTGGAAAGAGTACTGAAAAAGCATACTTAAATAAAAGTACCATTACTTGCCTAAAAATGTAGTGTGAGTAGAGTAAAAGTACCTGTTGTAAATATTACTCAAAGTAGGAGTAAAAAGTAGCCCTTTTAAAAGTACTCATGAGTAGTGAGTAATATGCTGTTAAAAGTTGATGCATTTACATGTAATTTGTGGATGTGTGTAAGCCTAACATTCTGTAGTGCATTTAGTTTTTGCCCAGCAGGCACACAATGTCATAATCATGTAATATTAGGTTAGATTTAGGTTGTAATGTCAGGTGACCAAAATTCAATGTCTAGCCAGCGTCTCAGGACAACACTATTTTGATGTCCAATAATGACATCAAATTACATTGATATTTGCTTGATTTGTGGATGTTAGAAAGTGACCAAAATCCAATGTCAAGCCAAAATCTTAAACCAACATCCTATTGATGTCAAATACTGACATTTATTCATCAGTTATGGCAACCAAAATGCAACGTCTGATAGATGTCACGGTGGTAATGTTGACACAGCTAAAGTCTGCAGGACACCGGCCCTCCAGGACTGTGGCTGTTTCTCAATATGCGTTCTTCAGCTGTCTTGCATCCTCGTGTTCTTGTGTAACATCATCATCCGCTGCCAATGTTCAGTTCCAATACTCAAGACCGCAAGAACAGAGGACGCATGAAACTTCCCGGATGTGATCTTGATATCGAGGACGCACAGATGCAGACTTGAGCACCGAACTCGCTCTAGAAGTCCCAGAAGTCATTGCGACTGGAGGTGGGATGCGCAGCATTTTATCTAGACTTATTAGTAAAGTTCAGAGATTTAACTTATTTACCTTAGGAGTTTCCCTGAATGAAACGGTAAAAGTAAACATTACCATGGACATCTTAATAAAGGAATAAACACATTAAGGGTGTTTGTTTGCTGAAATTTGTATTAAAATCAGTTTTATTTATATTGTGCAGAGTATATTCATAATGTTTTTATGCAAAGTATACATTTTTAAAAGGGGGGGAAACAATAAATGTGAATGAATGCTGTAATGTTTAAATAATACCATTTAAAACGTGTGAAGGTCATGTGACCATCAGGAAGAACGCAGCATCTCATTTCTCAAAGTACGCGTTCTCTGCCCTCGTGGTCTCCCGAGTTCATTCTTTCGAGGACACCTGGCAAGACCGGTCTCCCCAAGAACGCAAGTCCACTGTCTGCGTTCTTGGAATTGAGAAACAGCCTGTGTTTGGGCATCCCTGATCTAAGCAGTCTCAGGGTCAATGCGTGTAAAGATTTTGAACATCTTCTTGGACACCTAATGCTTAATTCCAAACAGTTTGCTGCAATGTAAAGTGCACATGTCTTGAAGTAGTTCATTATGATGCAATTTACCTTCTATGTATGATTTGATTGGACAGAAATTACAGGACTGATTTTTCTAATTCCCATAGACAAGAAAAAAAAAAATAAGTAGTGACTGCAGGTTGAAGGAAAGTAGTGGAGTAAAAGTACAGATACTGCACAAAAAATGTACTCAAGTAAGAGTAAAATTACACATTTACTCAGTAAATTACAATTCCTGAGAAAAAGTAATTAATTACAGTAATATGAGTATTTGTGATTAGTTACTTTACACCACTGATAATAAGTAAGCTTGAATACAAAAGAAAAGAAAATGACTTTACCTTATTTGATTATTTTGTATTTTATTTTTTATCCATATACTGTACATATGGTAAACAAAATATAATGGTACACTTTAGTTTGTCACAATTCAATGTATTAACAAACTATTAACTAACACTACTATCTTAGAAAATTATTAACTAGCTGTTTATTAATAGTTAGTAAGGTAGAAGTTTTTGGTTTTGGTTTTGGGTAGGATTGGGGATGAATAAAATCATACTTTATACTACCAATGAATAATTATTATGTTACTAATAGGCAGGTAATAAGTCAGTAGTTAGTAACATGAATTGTGACCTAAACTAAAGTGTTACCAATCTAGCCTTTCCACAGTATGAGATGTTTTATGTGGATAGGCCTTATTATTATAAATATTTCTCAAGTAACGTCTTCTAACATATAAAAAATATATCCCAAGTAAGTAACAGGAAATTTAAACTTAAATATGAAAGTTACAAATTTTAAGGAACACTTTAAGGAATATTAAACATCCAAGTAAATTGTTGGACTTTGATTAAAGATTAGCATTTTTTTTTTTTTTTTTTTTTGATTAACTTGCACATACAGATATAAAATATATCCCAAGCAAGTAAAAGGAAATATTATATTTTTCCCTTTAAAAATACAACATTTATAAAATTTTTGTATAAAATATTGAAACTGACCACTTATTGTTGAAAATATAAAGCAAATGGCAACACTGCCAGTCACCCGAGTATTTCTCAGCATCGTGCATGCTGCATGTGAGTTTTCCACGCCCACTTATTTACATTTTGCAGTTTACACTGAATAAATAAAATATTTTACAATATATAATGTCATAACACCCAGCCCTAGTCAGAACTGCATGTTTACACCATGTAATTTTGTTAGGTACCTATATCAATCAAAAAAATCAATAAAATATAGTCCACATTACTTTGTGTTAGTCCACATTACTTTTCATTGTCTAAATATTCTACAACAGCTGACCATTTTCCTTCTCTGTCCAGATACTACACAGCCAGTTTGCCTTCCTACATTTAACCAGACCTTTTCTGGTGGATTGCAGTGCTGGACATCAGGCTTTGGGACAACAAAACAAGGAGCTGGTATAAAGAGATAAATCTTCATCTTGTAATTTTAAGGTTTTATCTGCGTTCTGAATGATTTTGTGAAAACGACCTTTAAAGTTTTTGCATTCCATACATAAAACAGTATGTAAGTAACATTTTATTTTAAATAAAAACTCTTACAATGTAAACAACTTATAAAAAAAACCATAATGTAAATAAGTTGTTATTTAATAAAAATATGTGAAGATAGAACCTTATAATTCTAAGTTGACAAAATGTCAATAAATGAAAATGATAGTGAAAAAAAAAAACGGCAAAGAATGGTTATATGCCTATATAATAATTGACCAAAACAGAATCAATCAATCAATCAATCAATCAATCAATCAATCAATCAATCAATCAATCAATCAATCAATCAATCAATCAATCAATCAATCAATCAATCAATCAATCAATCAATCAATCAATCAATCAGTCAAATCTATCTCTTCATATTTATAACCTAAACTCAAATATTAATTTGATATGTAGCTGTGTGTGAACATTTTAAATGTTTTGAATATTACCATGTTTTTTTATTTTATTTATTTTTATTTATATATTCATTTCAGTTTAAGTTTACATGTATTGCGTACAAAAATATGATTCCAAAGTATCTTTACAAATGGTGCACATGGCAGAAACAACACAATATAATATCATATAAAAACAAATGTTCATTTATTGTTTACACTACAGCTATCAAGCATACACATCTGCACAGTTCCACGATAAAGTGTACCTTTTAAAGAAATGATATATACATTTATGTATATATATTGTGAAGTATTACTTAAAGGAAAACCTATTATCTCCCTTACCTATTATACCCCTATTATGCCCCTTAAAACAATGGTTCTCAAAGTGGGGGTCGGGACCCCCCGAGGGGTCGCAGGACAATGAAGGGGGGTCGCCCCTGGTGATTTCCAAAAAATCTATTTATTTTTATTAAACCATAAGAATTACCATATTTTATCCATAACCTACTGAAGAGAAAAAATAGTCGTTTATACCATATAAAGTTACTATAGTAGCTTATAGTTACTACTTCTATTGGATTGCAACCCCTGGGGTAACTACATTGTATTAAAGACACAGCAATAGTGTCAGATGCAGCAGATTTCATAACACCTGGTTAAACTTTGTGGCCCATTTACAGCACTGTCATACATTAAAAAAATTAAAAGAAGAATAGACTTTGGTCCATTGGTGTGTGTGCGCCTTTGCATGCAAGGTTTCTGTATTTATAACCACCTCAGAGGATATTGGGGGTCGCGAGTCACTGGCATTGTCATTTTGGGGGTCGCGGCCTGAAAAGTTTGGGAACCCCCGCCTTAAAAGATGTAAAATAAGTCTCTGATGTCCCTAAAGTAAGTTTCAGATCAAACTAACTGAAACTACCCATTATAGGCTTTAATCCAAATTGTGCCGATTTGGTGACTCTCGCTTTAAATTCAAATGAGATTGTGCTCCGAGCCAGGGGGCAGAGCTATAAAAGCCTCAGTGAGTTGGGGCTTCCCCTTCTTATGATATGTACAAAAGGAGAAAGTCAATCAAAGTGTTTCTGTAGACTGTTTTTATCAAGTGTGATTATAAAAAATAAATAAATAATTATTTTTTACCATTAGAAGTTGGTTATATTCACCTGCTGTTGTCACACAACTGTGTTTAAACCCACTATAAAAGTGATTTTTCATAAAAGGTCCCCTTTAAATTACACACAAACCACACCAAACAACTATGATGTTTGTATAATAATGTGTTTTCTTATGAATTAGATATAATACCATATAATCAGGCAATTGCTAAATTCATCGAAATGATTTAACGTCATTTGACTTTTAACTTTATAATTGCTCCAAAATTTATGAAGCCTGAATTTATTATAACAAACCATTGTTATAAAATGATTTACCTAATGTAACTAACTTGCCTAAATAACCTAGTAAAGCCTTTAAATTGCACTTTAAGATGAATACTAGTATTTTGTAAAATATGTAGTAAAATATTATGTACAGTCATCATGGCAAAGATTAAAAAATCAGTCATTACAAATTAAAACTGTTATATTTCCAAATGTGTTGAAAAAAATTCTTTCAATTAAACACAAATTGGAGAAAGAAATATATGGGTGGGTAAGGGCATAATTCTGGCTTCAACTATACATTTAATTTTATTTATTTATTTATTTATTTATTTATTTATTTATTTATTTATTTATTTATTTATTTATGTATTTATGTATTTATTTATTTATATTAGCAGTCTATATTCGGGACAAAAATCAGTCTAGACCAGGGGTACTCAATCCTGTTCCTAGAGATCTACCTTCCTGCAGATTTCAGTTGCTACCCATATCAAACACACCTGAACCAATTAATTAGGACCTGAACACCACTTGATAATTACAGGCAGGTGTGTTTGATATGAGTAGCAACTGAAATCTGCAGCAAGGTAGATCTCCAGGAACAGGATTGAGCACCCCTGGTCTAGACACATTGAAATCTAATGATTTGAGCTTAGAAGTCTGTCCAAATCACAATATTCAATTAATATAATATTGTTCTAAATTCTGCTTTTTTTCCTTGTCTGGTAGATCGTGCCTCGAGCAGCCTCATGAGTGTGAGTGTGAACATCATAGACTCCAGTGTGTGCAACAGCTGTCAGATTTATTGTGGCCTCATCACCAATAATATGATCTGTGCTGGAGATCTGAAGGGAGGACGAGACTCCTGTCAGGTGGGTTTATTCAGCCAGACACTGTCCCAATAATACTAGACCTGATGTAAATACATTATTTACTGGCTAAAACTGGTCCAGTGTATCTCTGTATTATGTCACTGATTTATTCGAGTGTTTGGTTCAAGCTGATGCAACTATGTTTTGTTCAACCAAGTATCTACATCCATTATAACCTTTGCATTAAGAAGAACTTTTGAAAGTATGGGTAAATCAGAATTTTTTTACATGTTCCAATTTAGTGACCACACTGTGTAAAATTGGTGTAAAAAGTACTAAATAAATAATTGAAGTAAAAAAATTATGTCTCAAAACAGTATTAATTAAACAGCATTAATCTTCCTAGAAACTTTATTTTATTAGAACAATTATACAATGTTATCATAAAAAGTCATGAAGATTTATTGTTCTAGTAAAAAAAAAAGATGATTGGCATCATAATTTACTACTTTTCATTGTATTTATTAATAAATTGTGTTATTTAGAATTTTTGTAAAATTATTATACAAACAATATATTAATATTTTTATTAAAATATGTTTATATTACTTTTAACGGCGAAGCAGTGGCGCAGTAGGTAGTGCTGTTGCCTCACAGCAAGAAGGTTGCTGGGTCGCTGGTTCGAGCCTCGGCTCAGTTGGCGTTTTTGTGTGGAATTTGCATGTTTTCCCCGCGTTCGCGTGGGTTTCCTCCGGGTGCTCCGGTTTCCCCCACAGTCCAAAGACATGCGGTAGGCTAAACTGTCCGTAGTGTATGAGTGTGTGTGTGTGTGTGAAAGTGTGTGTAGATGTTTCCCAGAGATGGGTTGTGGCTGGAAGAGCATCCGCTGCGTAAAATCTTGCTGGATAAGTTGGCGGTTCATTCCGCTGTGGCAACCCCGGATTAATAAAGGGACTAAGACGACAAGAAAATGAATCAATGAATGAATTACTTTTAACTTTAATATTAATTTCAGAAATAACCATTACTTTCTCTGCATTAATAAACCATTAGGGGCCCTATCATACACCCGGCGCAATAAAGCTCAAGTTGTGTAGGGTGCGATTTGTTGCCATTTTTGTGCCAGACTGTTTAAATAGGAAATTCATTTGCACCACTTTGTCATGGTGTGCTGGTCTATAAAAGAGATGTGTTAGGCGTATTGTTGGCATGTTATTGGGCCTGTTTCAGTAAGGAGGTTCAAACAACTAGCAGTTTAAACTTGAACTCTGAGTTGATTTACCAAAAGATTAAAAACTCAGCGTTTTCGGTTTCAGAATAACTGATCTGAGTTAGGTCAATCAACTTTATATAAACCAACTCAGAGTTTAGCACGCACACCGCAACTATAAAAAGGCATTATCAATGGAGCGCAGATACTACAAGTGACCATAGCAACATTTAAAAAAAAAAGAGATCAGCATTTCTTTCTCCAGCTGAACTTGATGTGTTCATGCAGAGTTACAAAAGATATGACCATTTTAAAAAGCAACACCCCTGCATCAGTGAAACAGAGACCGTAAGCATGGGATTACAGCTGTTAATGCTTAATTTTACATCTAAAGTAAATATTTTAGTATATTAAAAAAGTAATGTAATGTGTGACGTTTATAAAAAAATTACACACGTTCCCACTTTTACACTCGTTGATCAGTTTTAATAGATTTAACAGGGCAATTGTGTGTCAGCCTCTATATTGATCAAATGGTAGAGGTTGATATGACATTTAGAATGTAAGCAGAACTAAACAATAGGCTTTAGAAATAATAATAATCCCAATAATTTAGTAACAGTACATGTCTAAGGTCAGTGAATTGAAGCTAATTATTTAAAAAAAACAAGCCATTCTCATACATGGTTTTGTTCTGTGTGTGACTAAAATGTAAGCAATAGCTGTGTTTACATCCAAAAATATAAATTAAATTTATGTGAAAAACTGGAATAAAAGATTCCATCCAATGAATCAAAAAGAACAAAATCATCACTTCCTGATTAACTGGCGTCAAATATCAACAGTAAAAACTTACTGAACTTACTGCAGTGGTAGAAGCTTTGTCAATCTTTTCTTTATTTAATAAATTTATTTTATTTTATAAATGTAAATGCCTCAAAAGACAATGTTGATACACAATGAACACATGGGGGCGTTTGAAGCCATGAGACGCAAAGAACAGATGGCCTTGATACTCTGGACGTAATTAATAATATACAATACATTAATACTGAAACAGTTAAGCCATTTAAGAATGACCAAAACAACATTTAAGATGTTTTACAATGCTCTTAGCCTGCTGGTTTGTCTATTTACACACATTTCCATCATCATCTCTTATAACAAACCATTTTTTAATGCACACACAGGAATTTGTTAATCAAGTGTTTCCATCTCACTTTATGTGCATCTTTTCTAAACGAATAAAAGTTAATCCTACTCAGTATTGAGCATGTTTTATTATGCATATTTTCAAAAGTTATGTGCATCATGACAGTTCGTTTTTATGCGAATCTCCAAAATGAGCATTAAAATAGATGGGTGGACATGTAAGGCTAAGGAGAGAAATACCACTTTGGGCCCTATCATACACCTTGCGAAATGTGGCGCAAGACGCAGCGCAATAGTCTTTTACTACTTTAAGCTTGGCGCAATTTTGAGATGTTGCGCCATGCTGTTTAAATAGCAAAGGCATTTGCGCTCAAATGTGCGCCCATAGGCGTTCTGGTCTAAAAAAGCAGGTGTGTTTTGGCACGTTGCTATTTAGAGAGACTGTAAATAGTTTGTTCTTTAGACCAGAACAAAGTCGCTCTATTGTCTGGCGCAAAGTGCGCCTGGCTTACACACTACACACAAGATGCAATACACAAATATCTTTACATATGAAAAAGATATAATATATTAAGGATATATATAGAATATAATAAGGATATATATAGGAAATAAATATAAATGATTAAAATATTACAAAACATATAAATGTCTAGCCTACATGAATTTAAAAACCACTGCCTTCATACTTTCTTCATCTCGGGAGGCTTTTTCAGTTCATTCAATTTGCTTTTGTATAATGTTATTATTATTAGCAGTATTATTTATGATATCCATATTTATATTTGTTTTATTAAAAACAAGCTTAGATTTGTCCACTTGTCAGGTTTTAGACCATATGGGGTATAGCAGGTGTATTTGGAAATAACTCAGTATTTTGACCACACTTTGTTATTATTAATCATTTATTCGTTTGCTGGAAATTAGAACTGAATTTAGAAATAGTTTTGAATTAAATCTTTGCACTTAACAAACTAAATTAATTATTTATAGGCTAATTGATGTCTGTGCGGTAAGGTTTCCCTATCCACGAGAGCAAAAGTGAAAGTGAACTTACTTTACGTCATGTTAATAGCAATGTGCTTATGGCGCGACGCAGCTGGCTCTTAAAGGTAATGGAAGATGAGACTCTGATTGGTTTATTCTCAAAACAAACCTATAACTCATTAAGAAAATAAACTCAACCCTTTTAGACCATGCGCCATGGCGCAAAGCGGATTTTCCCGTCCTTAAGTTAGCAAAAATGCGTTCTGACACGCCCTGAAAGCGTTTGCGCCCTGTGTTTTGCGCTCTGTGCATGGACCGTCAAAATAGAGCCCTTTGTCTTTAAAAAAGGGAGGAGACTGACAGAAACTCAGAGTTTAGAGAACAAAACCTGCTCCTGACCAGGCTAGGTTCACAGAGAACTGTACGTTACCACGGTACTCAGAAACAGGCTAGACTTACCCTGCTTTCTCGAGTTTGATAAACCTGCCATTTTGAAACGGAAAACCCAGAGTTTCTCTCATTTTAGGGTTAAAATACTCTGAGTTTTCACTTAACCTACTTTCTGAAACAGGCCCATTATCTTAAGCATCTGAAACAGACCGCACCATTGACCAACAAAAATCTGATCTAAAGTCTAGCGCAGAGTGCGTTACTTATGCACCTATGCAGGTCCAAACGTTTACACATTGCTTAAAACACAAAGGATGTACAGCAATACACAAATATCTTTACATATGAAATGCCTTTATCATGTCAGGGGGCTTTTTTCAGTTTATTCATGACAATTTGTATGCGTATAATGTTATTATTATTAGCACTATTATTTATCATATGCATATTTATATTTGTTTTAATAAAACTAAGTTTAGATTTGTCCACCTGTGTGGTTTAGGAAAAGTATGCATCATCATATGGGTGACAACACTGGTTCCTTATCCATGAAATTAAAGGAGTAAAATAAAGAGTAAAAGTAAAGTACAGAGAAAAAGTTCGAATGGAGGAGGCTTGTTCTTTATCCTTGTGCAGCAGATGGTTTGTTTAACTGTTTTCTCGCTAGTGAACCATTCAGTTTTTTCCAATTACAAAGTCTGCCATGTAAATAGCAAATGTGCCATGGCATGAAGCAACTGACTCTTAAATGGAATAGGAGATGAGACTCTGATTGATTTATTGCAAGTTAAGCTCAAAACACAGCCAAAACTCATTAAGAGAACTGATTTTTTAAACCAAACAATATCAAATGAATACAAGTAATGTTCTAAGCAATGTCTGCTGAAATAAATGTAAGATTTTTTTTTTATTCACTATTTAACAAAATGCTATTTGAAGTTCCCTCTCTGTGTGTTTTACGTCTGTGTTTGGTATCAGGGTGACAGTGGAGGCCCACTGGTGTGCAAAGATGATAATAATCGCTGGTATCTGGTTGGAATCACAAGCTGGGGAGCAGGTTGTGGACAAAAACAAAAACCAGGAGTATATAGCAGAGTGACCAGCTTTCTGCCCTGGATCTACACTAAGATGCAGGTAAGCTGGACAGTCCAACATAAGTCAAAATATTCTTCTTACAACTTCCTTCACCAATGTATTGTGTCTCTTTATATACCAGCAAGAGAAGCCATGACGCCTCTCTTTTGAGGAGGATTTGAACAACGTCAGCCCAAAACTAGGAATGAAGGACACAGTAATGCTCTTTGACATGGAGCAATGTTGTTATACTATAGCCACATGTGGACAAAGAAAAAATAAAGACTCCATTGATCCCACATTTTCCAACAAGAAAATAATAAAACAGAGCAAAGCAGCAGGCTTGTTTTTTTCTTAGCATTTATCCACCTTTTCCCTCACATCATCACTAAATTTTAAATTATGGGTTATTATTACTTTTATTTTTACGTTTTGGAGAACATCCATTAAAAAGAATTGAATGTTTTTATTTATTTATTTTTTAATTTTTTATATTGTCCTCATGAACATGGGTATTTTTAAAACTGCAGTTGTTCTATGTGTGGTTGTGTGGACACTACAACCGTACTTTTTGCCTCATGATGTCAATACCCCCTTTTACACAGTGATACCGATAAATATCCTGTAATTTTCGGGAATGACTTTACCGGTAAATTCAAATATATTCATTCATACATTTTTAACCTAAAATCTTCCAAATAATGAATATTGTGAACAACATTGATGAAAAGATATGGAGGAACACTTTTGCATATTGAGATGTACATTTGAGTTTGTGCTGCAGCTTGTAAGATACTTTTGAAAACGAAAGACTCCTTCTGCGTTCACACAGCGCAGCATTCCGGAAAATTACCAGTAAAGTTACAATTTCTCTTTCCAGAAAATTGCCAGAACAAATTTAGTGGTATTTTCAAAAAGGGCCTGTTCACACAGGATCCTTTACATTTTTCTGGAAAAGTCTGTAGCTGCCTCCGATATCCATACTATATAGTACACTAAAAATCGTTTGCGATTCCAGTGGTGTGTCTAAATTCATAGAATTCAAAAACAGTCTGTGAGAATTACCCATATGACCTACTACTTTCAGCAAGATTCTGAAGTGTGCATTGGATGGAGAGTATGGTATCCGATGATGGACCGCAAGTGAATGTGAGTGAAGTGAAGTGATGCAACTGATGCGGGTAGGTCATGTAATGATGACAAAATGCTGGATGTAGTACATCCGAGTTCCATTCATCCTACTCACTTTCATACTGTGTAGAATGTACTTTTCCAACGACCAAGTAGTACATTTAAATTCCAATTCTGTACCTACTGAGTATTGTTTTCTTCATTCTGATGGGCCGACATGCCTGTGTTAATAAAATATGTGGAAAAACGCAACTGAGGCAAATTGTGCACATTTGCGGCAAAAGCATATTGTGTTGTTTGCACCGCGGGACAGGAATTGTCCCCTTTTTTAACATTTGCATTGTCTTGCATGTACTCCCGCAAATACTTAATTCTGCAGTTAATGTGAAACCAGCATAGGAGGCATTTATCATCGGCTGTTGGTTTGTCGTGTTCTTAACATGCACCAGACTGCATTTTTGAGTTTTCATGTGGACAGTTTTTTTTTTTTTTTCAATATCGGTGGGGAAAACTTTATTTATAAAATTTATAAAAATACTTATGTGTGGACGTGGCCTACACTCAAAAAAGGCTTGTTCAAACTGCTTATTTAAAATGAACTGAATCAACACAAGTTTTTTTGGGGACAACTTAATTTGTTTTATGTTCAACCCACTTAAACTTCTAAAAACGATTCAGGTAACTTTATTGATTCATATTGTAACAACATGAAAATAATACGTGGAACCCAACATTTTTACAGTGAAAGGTTGTGCTACAAATTCATAATTGAGTGAGAGGTGAGTTTGTGCTTTGTTTTTATACATTCGTATCACAAGCATATCTGTGGCCAAAGCTCTTATAGTTTACCATATTATGTTTCTCCAGATTATCGTTTCTTTGTATTCATTACAGCATGGTAAAATACAACATGTATAAAACTGTTGCAGAAAGACTTGCTTCTAGTTTTTAAGTTATTCATAGTCTCTTGTTAATTCTAGCTGCCTTTTAATTTCCAATAGATAAATATTGGAAAAAATAATAGCATCACATTGTCTATAATTTTGTAAAGCACTTCACTGACTGTGTAATTAGTTACAGTAATTAAATTACAGTAAACAGAAAAGTAAGGAATTACCTTAAACTTTTGGTAATTTCATTACAGTTGTAATATATATATATATATATATATATATATATATATATATATATATATATATATATATATATATATATATATATATATATATATATATATTTTTTTTTTTTTTAAAGAATTCAATGTTTTACCTTAAGGTTACATTTATCTGACAATTGTTCATGCTTAAAGAACAATACATTGATAAATATAACAATAAACTACAATTGAATGGTATGTATGAACTTCAGTGTCAAGTTTATCTTTTATGAAGTATTTTTTAAATACAGTTAAAGCCATGTTTATCTCAAATTATTCAGATAATTAATAGTTTGAATTCTTTTGTCTACTGTATGTGTTGAGTTTAATAAGGGTTATGCAGTAATGATTCAAGTCATTAAATTACTTACTAGGTAAATTAGCTTCAGACAAAGTAATTAGAAAAGTAATTCAAAAAATTTTTTTTAACAATGTAATTTGTAATAAGCAATTACATACTTTTGTAAATTAACTTAACCAACACTGTTCATAATTCACCCCAAACATCATGGGGTGTTGGGAAAAGGTGGATACTGCTAAAAGTGCACTGCTGAACCAGAGTCTTTCTCCCTTTTTAACTCTGATTCTACATAATTATCAGGAGCATTCTATAAATGTGTATTTATTAACCAAAGGGGTGTTAAATGCATTTGAAAATCAATGTCTGCTTTGGTAAATTCAAATATTTATTAAAATTGAATGTAATTCTATACCCTTGTCTCATTGAGAATAATCAGGATTTTTGTCTGAATATGTCCTGCCTCCACTCCTACATCAGATCTTTTATTTTTTTCCATTAAGCATGAGTGAATATACAGGACACACATTTTAAACCATCTAACATATAGGTGACCATTTCTTCATGAGATTTTTAGCTGAAGGTGTAGTCAACAATCAAAAATGTATCTTTATTATGACCAACAGATCCACTGTGATGTAAAACTCACTCACTTATTTGGTTTTGGCTTATTCCCTGCTTTGTTATTCCCTGTGAGGTCACCACAGTGGAATAAGCCGCTATTTACTCTGGGATATATTTTAATAGTGAATGCCCTTCAAACCACAACCCAGCACTGAACCCAGGAAACACACACACACACACATTCCCAATCACACACTTTGACAAATTGTGTTTATCCAATTCACCTATAGCACATGTGGACTGTGTGGGAAACCAGATCACCCAAAGGAAATCCTTGCAGACAAGGGGAGAACATGCAAACTCAATGCAGATACTTTCTTTCTGTCATTTAGCCACTGTGCAAGCCTAATGTACAGCTTTGTGTAAAAAATTACAATGTTTATTTACACTTATTGATGGACTGTTTACAATGATGCTGCCCATTATTTACATTTAGTTATTTAGCAGATGCTTGTCCAAAACGACTTACAATTGAGGTATTAAGTGATTCAACGAGAAGAGGAAATACCAACGAGAAGTGCTTTTTATTCAAAGTAACTTGTTTACGCTCAGAGAATTTAGTGCTAGAGTAGTTCTTCAATAGGTCTTTAATAATCTTCAATATATTTCACCAGGGTTCAGGTATTCTCAGAAGAGATTGGTTTTATGTTGTCGTTTGAAGGACACCAGTGTATCAGCAATCTGAGTAGGAATGGGAAGATCATTCCACCAATGTGGAACATTGATTGAAAAGGTTTTGGAAAGTAACTTATAGCCTTGCTTTGATGGCACCACAAGATAGTGCTCAAACCCTGACCAGAAGCTCCTGAAGAGGGTGTAGACCATCAGCAGCAGAAGGTACAGTGCCAGTGGCTGTCCTGTAAGCAAGCATTGGTGATTTGAACTTGATTCAAACTTCAACTGGTACCCGATGCAGAGAGATTAAAAGAGATGTTATGTGGACTTTCTTTGGCTAATTGAAGACCATACAAGATGAAATGTTGTAGATAACCTGTTGAGGCTTTAGTGTGCAGGATGGAAGACCAGCTAGATAAGCAGCTAAAAAAATCAATACCTTGTTTGAACAATCAAAATCACAAAAACCCACCCCCTCAGGACAGCAGCATTGAACATTTTGATGTGATTGACCCAAGTTCAAGTCCACCTTTTAGAGAATTTATTTTTCGCCACAAATCACAACACAAAGGTCAACATCATCATTTTCTTGTCAGCTTAGTCCTTTTTTTAATCTGGGGTCGCCACAGCGGAATGAACCGCCAACTTATTCAGCAAGTTTTTATGCAGCGGATGCCCTTCCAGCCGCAACCCATCTCTGGGAAACATCCACACAACATTCACACACACACTCATACACCACGGACAATTTAGCCTACCCAATTCACCTGTACCGAATGTCTTTGAACTGTGGAGGAAACAGGAGCACCCAGGGGAAACCCACGCGAAGGCAGGGAGAACATGCAAACTCCACACAGAAACGCCAACTGAGCCGAGGCTCGAACCAGCCACCCAGCGACCTTCTTGCTGTGAGGCGACAGCACTACCTACTTCGCCACTGCTTCGCCAAATCACAAAGATATTTTTTTTTTATAAAAATTAAATGTTTTCAACTGTAAATAAAATGCCTGAAAGGTATTTAATAATAGTGTTTATGGTTAGGGGTAGACGTCATTATTTAAATTAACTGTATCTCTTCAGATGACTCGGATTTAGATTAGGCAGAATTAAATAAATACAGTAAGCCGACTCTCAACTTTATATACTGCAAATCAGATCATTTACATCAGCAATGATCACATTTTAGTGTTGACTGGTGACTTTGCACATGGTTTGTTTAACGATCTGTGCATCTTATATTTAAAGAGGAGAAGGAAGTGTAAACCACAAAGCGTTTAAAAAAACTTTAATAATAAAAACATAACAACGGTGGAGCAGCAGCCCCAGCAGACAACTCAGACAACAAAAACTGCAACAAAGTATCACAGTCCTGATCCTCTCTCTCCTCTTCCACTGTCATCACTTCTTTTTTTAATCCTTCTGTGGCTCTTCTGTGGCGTTTGAGACTAGTGTGGCACACAGGTGACAATTGTGAACAGTCCGTTCCATGTCTCTCCCCACTCCATAAATATATCCCCATCACCCCTCACAGGCGGGGGTACCAAGTCTACACAACAGTCCATAACACACTGAGAAAGGTCTGGTCATTGGTGCATCTCGCTGTGCTAGAGAACCTCACAGAGGAATCTATATACTCGTTTCCTAAAGGCTACTGATAACTCTGTGCCCTTGTCTCTTGCTTCTTCCCATTCTGGGCTGACAGCAGCAGGCTTTGGTCCACGGCAGATGGCAGTGACTTCCCATATACCACTCGGGCGCATGGCAGCAAGCTTCAGCTCCAGGCAGGCGGTGTTGAATTCCCATGCCCTTCGTGGATGGCAGCTGCAACACTGTTGTTACCCTCCCAGTAAAATGTTCACACCAGCAGAACCATGTTCCTAAGCAGTAAGGACTCTTTTACAGTGTGCACCACCTCCTCCCAGCTTTTGTTGCCAATGTAAGGAATTTATAAACTCATAACAAGGAGGAGGAGGTGGCAATCAGTGAACATTTAATAAACTATATAACAAACAAAATACTAAATAAAGTGGTAAGTGCCCCTCACAAACACGCGAACAGAGACAAAACTCCAACATAAAGTTTCCCATGCCTGGTCTTCTGTCATCTTCCACTGTCATCGTAACCTTTCAAAACTCCTCCATGAGACCTAAGATCGGTGTGGCCTCGCTCCACTACCACAACTCTCTGCCCCTCCCTACTCTTATACACCCACATCATCATGAGAATGAGCTCTACCTCTCCCCACTCAACAAAAGGGGCCAACAACAAGGTTCAAACTCACACTTCCAAAAAATGGAAAGGCCAGACGATGCAAGACAAAAGAGAGGGAAGGATGAGGAGATAAAGAATTAAGATTGAGGAGAAAAAACATTGGGGTGTAGTTGCCTAAACAAAATCCCACTTGGTCATCAACCAGTTGAGAGACCCTCACTTGCAATGCCTGGCAGCAGCATCGGCTGCCCCTTAATGGATGACATTGTACTCCCATGTCTTCAGATGGCAAGCATCAGCTTCTCCGCTTTAGCATACCCATCATACAGCTTCTCCCCATCATCCTGGATGGCAGCAGAATTTCCCCCAGTGACAAGAGCTCCATGACAGCATGTTCCTTTTCCCTACCGCATTTTATCACTTACGTAATGAGGTTCAAAATGCACACTTATAATAAGAAGAAGACAGGAACTGGAAACGTTCAATAAGTTTAATTATTAAATTAACAAAAAACAAACGTAGATTGGCAGCACCTCACAGACGACTGCACAAACAGCACAAACAATAACAAAAATCATCAACAACCTCACTTTGCCCCCATGGCTCTCAGCCTTACTCATCACAGTTGGTGTTTAAACATTAAAAAAGTAAACAGAAATGTAAAGGATTGATGAAAATGATAAATTAAAAGGATGTTATAGAATGATAAATAAATGATAGAGATTACTGGTGCATCATGTTGACGGCCGAGTGCAGATTACCAACAGAGAATATGGCACCTGAATAGGATGCATAAGTCCACCCTCGTGATTTCATGCTGGGATTAATGTTTTTTTGAGACACTTTAAGACCCACATGTGAAACAAGAGTTATGGGAAACTGTTGATTAATATGTCCCACTTAATTTCTCCATAGAAATAAAATCAAATGATGAGACAAAAGTTGATATGAGGAAATATAGGCTACAATGTGAATAGCTAGGAAGATAATTTTATCTTAAAGGAATTTTCTTTAAATTAAGTCTTTTTATTGTCTTTGTATCCAATCACAGTATGAAATACTGCAATCTCTTCTGAATGTGAGATTGTCATGGAACTTCTCACAACTAATCGTCTGGAGATTAAAAGAATTCAGTAAGTTTATCTCCGCTTAATTTAGTCTGAAACATCAGATAACAAAGATCTCTTAATTGTGGAGTCATGGCGAAAGCCTTTGCATTTACTTATGTCAATTGACCCTAAAAAAGGCTTATAAAGACTAGCCAACCAAAACTAGCGACCAACGCGTGCGGTGTCTCTCTGCGCGCGTGGCGGGGCGGAAACCGAGAGCGCGCGAGAGGAGAGACAAGGGGACAAGCCAACAGTCAATATATTTATATCAGAAAAAAAGAAGGAGACCCTCGTTTGCTGTCATATATTACCGAGCGTTCCTTTCAGAGGATTGTTCTCCACCCACAACTTTTCGTGACATTTCAAAACGCCAAAAACCTCACTTGAGGAACCTACAGCCGCGCGCATCGTGTCAATAGGAAGCACCGTTTGCCCCACTGTTGCCCCCCTTACAAGTGCCCTCAAGGAGACGAGACAAGGTAGGCTATGAAGTGACTTTCTAACTAGGGCGTGTGCTGTTGTGTTATAGTCTGGTGTTGTTTTCATATTATTTATTGGAATGACGTGCGTCAAGGTTCGCATTTACTCCAATGACATCACCAATGCAAGTAATATAAACACGTTTAATAATTGTGGTGTGTGCATTTCAACAGCACTGTTCTTTTTTAAATGTCATGCAGTCCACGGAGAGCAGAAGTGAATTCAGGCTTGAAATAAAATAATTAAACGTATGAATATGATATCACACGCTGTTGTTGTTTTGTGAGGGTGTGTCCGAATTTCATGCCTGCTTGTATCGTTATGGCTTAAATTGCATTTGCATGACTTCTATAAATCATTTAGGGTTTGTTTTGACATGTTTGTTGCAGGGTGGGTGATATATTTGAATAACAATATGGGAATGTGTGAAAGCAACTTCGAAATGAGAGGGAAATGATGGCGCGCGAGCGGATTACAATTACTGAGAGGAAAGATGTATCAGCGCTTGATCAAAAAATTAAAAGTGTGGGCAAATGAGCTTTTCGTATGCGTGCTGAGAGAAATCTACAGGTTGGGAGGGGTCCGGAGATGACCACGACTGAGGTCTGCGCGCACAACAGGTAGCGCGTTATGTTCGGCACTGATCGATAGATTGGAAACTGAGGGCGTAAAGCGCGTAATAGGCGGCGCGCGCTGGAATATTTGATTTTGATTGGCCGAGAGATAAACATTTATTAACTGTAACGGTTCTCTGTTCTAAAGTAAAATAACAAAGCTATCTCTATTTGAATAAAAATGTCATGATTGATTGTTTTGCGTAAAGTGAGATAAGGATAATCACTGTCCTTTTGTGACCTACTACAATTTTATTTTTCGTATCCACTACTAGTTATAGAATTTCAATGATGTGCTATCATGAGTATCTTACAATTGAATTATAAATAATATCTGATTTGAGTAAATGTCTTCCCGAAAAAAAAGTATTTGTGACAAACATAAAACGCATCGTTTTCATTGTTTAGGTGGCCGTCACCATCTCTCAAAACTACAGCCAGCTTTCTGTAGTAATAATCGTAATCACCTGACGGGTACAGTTGCCATAGCAATATTTCTACACCATGGTAGAGGCGAGACTGGCAGCGCGCCAATGAAAGCTTTGTTGTCATGGATACAATTTACCCTCGTTGTGGTTGTGATGAGGTCTCACCCTAAATAGTGAACGATGACCTATTGTTCAAAAAGAAAAGAATACCACTCAATCAACTGAAATCCAGTCTGTACAATAAAACGAATATATTTTATTCTGGGAGGAGGTATTGGTGACAATGACCCTAACAGCTGGTGTACTCACCAAAAACAAACAAGATGAGCTTACAAACAAAAGGGAGATCACAGTGATATTATTTTTCAGTCTTTAATTTGCAAGCCGTTTCTGTCATCAACACCTCCGCAGACATAACAGCAATTACAGCATTTCTATGAAAGAGATGCAATTTAGTTGATCACAACAGGATCAGATATTATTTTGCACTTTAAAACACGAGGGAGGGAAGGAAATGGATTCTGAATTAATGGCACACTGAAGTGTGTGCTATGAAATTCTGATACTAATTGATATACCATTATAATAATAATTCTTATTGTAAGCATTTATTATTTTTCACACAAAAATATTTTTGATGCTAAAATATTTGATTCATCTTAAAAAAAAAAAGTGTCTTTAAATATTGCAGAAGTTTTGACTTCTGTTTGTTTTGAAATACTCAGCAAGGTTGCTGGTTCAAACCTTGGCTGGGCCAGTTGGCGTTTATCTGTGGAGTTTATGTGTGTTCTCCCTGTGTTCGCATGGGTTTTCTCCGGGTGCTCTGGTTTCCGCTACAAGTCCAAAGACTTGTGGTACAGGTGAATTGGGTAGACTAAATTGTCCGTAGTGTATGTGTGTAAATGAGTGTGTATAGATGTTTCCCAGTGATGGGTTGCAGCTGGAAGGGCATCCGTTGTGTAAAAAAAACATATGCTGGATCCGCTGTTGCAGCCCCAGATTAATGAAGAAAAAAAATGAATGAGTGAATACTGAGCTGAATGCATTATAATGGCTAAAACAACTGACTTAAAGTTTTTTTTTTAATTTATAAAAAAAGTAAACGTATGTTTTTAGAAGTCTCTTTATGATATAAAACATTTGATTATTTTTTAAATCACTTATGCTCGTCTAGGTTGGGTGCTGTCCTGTAGCTACCCACACACAATGATAACAAAATAGGTCTAAATACATTTTTAATTTGAGAAAATGCCTTTTTAAATAACCACCAACCATTAACAATCTTCAGCATGTCATTTTGTTTTTAAAAAATCATGAAATTAAAAGGGAAAATTTATTTATTGGCAATGTTGCTTAGACTACCAGCAACTGTTTGATTGACTAAATATAAATTTAACTTTTTATTTACAACACTTTGTTTACCTTATGTGGCCCAACTAAGCTTTTTATAGAAACAGAAATGATATCAGGAAGAATATCTTACAATCAGATTAAATGGGGAATTTAAAAAAAATTGTCTTGACACAATAAAGATGGCAAAGAAAAAAACAAGGTTGGCATTTAGATAAATTAACTGTTTATTTATAAACTGACCATTTAACAAGGTGTAGGAGATGGCATGAATGCAATGAATTTAATAATAAAAATGTCATGAAATTTGAAACTAAAACCACCAGTAGGTGGAGTCAAGTCTCCGTCTTTGTCATGATTTTGAATGATTTATTTAATTGAATTGTTCGAACAGCTGATTGGGCAGTGAGTAGCAGTGACGCAGTGGGTAGCACAATCGCCTCACAGCAAAAAGGTTGCTGGGTAGAGCCTCGGCCGGGTCATTTGGCATTTCTGTGTGCAGTTTGCATTTTCTCCCCGTTTTTGTGTGGGTTTTCTCAGGGGCCTCCGGTTTTGCCCACAGTCCAAAGACATGCGGTACACGTATGTTGAAAAAATTGGCCGTAGTGTATGTGAGTGTGTAAAAGAGTGTGTGAGTGTGTCCCAGTGTTGGGTTGCGGCTGGAAGGGCACGCTGTGTTAAACATGCAATCGTATAATTCCGCTCTGGCGACCCCAGATTATTAAAGGGCCTAATCCGAAACGAAAATGAATGAATGAACAGCTAATTAAATTCATTCACAAATGTCTATTTGAATGAACTACTGAATCATTGTCTCATATCAAAGCTAAAGATTCATTCATAAACAAAACTGGTATGGATATGTGCAGCGGCTGAAGCATTTTCGAGAAAGCAGAGCAACATTTGGACAACAGTGATTTTAATAAAGCATCATTTGCGTTCTGTCTTTAGGGATAATAATAACGGTTCATTTTAGAAGCAGTGAACTTAGAATCTGCTGTAACTTGGATATAAACAGCGAAACTTGGGTCGCTAAAGTAAATGTTAGCAAACCCTGTTAACTGTGTTTTACAATGAATATAGAACAGCTTAAGTTACACTCGTGTCAAGCTGCCTAAATGCAGTTATGCACGGCAGGTACAGCTCTGTGAAATATGTGAAGTTTGCCCCACTCTAAAATGATTTTGAGGTGGAGGAGGAGGGAAAGGGTCACCATTGCAACTTGCGCCTATGCTTTACATATGGTGTCCTCCACCATTCAGAGGAATTTGTGGGTACGAGAGAGATCTCAGGTCTGGTGGGAGCAAATTGTGGCGACTGACCACTTTCCACCTCCACGTTTCCTCTGTTGATGTTGTTTACTACGTTGGCGTCTCCACACATGCTCTTCCTTCTATGTCATTAAACCGTGGAGAAGTGCCACATTGTCGCAAGTATATGACATACAAAATGGATTGTCTCAATAATTCCAATCTGCCTGTTTACATGATAGTCACATCGTCACATATCCAATTTATATGATTTTTTACATATAAATTACTGATGTCTGAATATCCGAATGTATGCGTTTTTTTTTTTTTTTCATGTGTACAGAGTCATAAAACAGATGCGATCTGTGTCACATTTAACTGGGAGTGTAAACGGGGTCTTAGACATTTTGAAAATTGTGTGAAATGACACAATGAACTTTATTGTGCTTGTGCGTGGCGCCCTATTACAATACTGAATTCTGGTTTGTTAATCGTCATTGTTTGTAAGTCATAAATTACCATAAATAAATAATTATAATATTTATTTGCACGATACGTTTTACAATACACACACTGGTGTTAATCTAAAGGGGTGGTGAGAGGAGATGGTGGTCCTACAAAGAAAATGCTTTTTGTCATTTTTTTCATTATGGGGATGCCATCCCTCAATTCGAGCGCTTCCAATACCTAACTTACACTGACAAAAAAGGTGTCTGCAAAATTGTTGCAAACAATTTATGTGTTGAATATAAACAAATTAAGTTTATTAATATTCAACTTAATTTGTTTGTTTAAATTCAGCCCAAACAAAATGTTTGCAAACACTTAAAAAAAAACTAACTATAAATCCAAGGAATTACATCTGGGTTTTTTTTTCAGTTTACCTTAATAACTATTAATAAGGAGCAAATTAGGAGTTTATTGAAGCAAAAGTCAAAATAGTTTGCTAAGAGCAAGAACTGAGCTGTAAAATATAATGTGACCAACAATTATTTTATAAGTATATCGCAATATAAATCACAGGAAAACAACATATCTCAGATATGTATATGTCAGATTTTTTCAAAATCATGCAACCCTATTGTGTTCTTTATTTTTTATATTAGTATTGTGTTATAACATATTTGTGTTTTTTTTTCTATGGCTAACTGCTCAACCACTTAGTATACTGGATTGTCAAAACTAATTTTGATGCAGACGAGCATTTAGTAACAGACCATAACCAGTTATGATGTTGGGATGGATTTCTAACATGATTTGTCATGGTAGTATTTAGAGATGTAATACTAGTTACACACAACTGTGTTTAAACCCCTTATAAAAGTGATTTTTGCATAACAGGTCCTATTAAATGAAA